TGTGTGTGTGTTTATATGTGTGTGTGTGTGTGTGTGTGTATGTATGTTGTAGTATGTATGTATGAATGTTGTGTGTGTTCTGTGTGTGTGTGTGTGTGTGTGTGTGTGTGTTTATGTGTGTGTGTGTGTGTGTGTGTTTGTGTGTTTGTGTGTGTGTGTCTGTCTGTCTGTCTGCGTGTGTGTTTCTCTCTGTGTGTGTGTGTGTTTGTGTGTGTGTGTGTGTTTCTCTGTGTGTGTGTGTGTTTCTCTGTGTGTGTGTGTGTGTGTGTGTGTGTGTGTGTGTGTGTGTGTGTGTGTGTGTGTTACCGGGCAGAGGTTGGTTGTTGGCCAGTTTCCACTGCAGTCTGATTGGCTGAGCTCCGCTGTAGACTATGCACCTGAAGCTGGACGAGGCTCCGACTCTCACTGCTGCGCTGTGAGGCTCGATGGCGATGATCGGAGACTGGAGACCTGAGGAGGAGGAGGCGATTCAAACATCAACACAACGAGCAACACACACTCAGAGGGACTGATAAAATACCTATTATCTAAATACTTGTATTGTCTTTATTTTCATATGTTTTGTGTGTTGAAATGTTGCTTTCCTTACAGCTGATTGGCTAACCCTTTTATCGTCAATCAACGTTATCAACTCGTATTACTTTAAGATCTAACCAGTTGTACCATTACACCGTGTTCAGCTTCCCTCTCACTATAACATAGATGTCCCTGCAGCTACACATTGACCTGGCAGCTTCTCAAACATGAGGTCCAGGAAACAGTGAGCAGTGATGAGCTCATGGAGAGGTGTGAGTGTGAGTCACTGCTCGGTGACAGGGTGTGTGTGTGTGTGATGTGTTTCTGACTGACACACACTCTGACATCAACTGTAAACTCCTCTGTGAGAAAATGAGAATCAGATCAAAGAGTCAGAAAGGGAAGAGCAGGGGAACGTTTGGGGAACACAGCAAAAGTCTGTTTAAATACAGAGAACACTTCTGTGCACCTGTTGAACCCTGAGCCTGTTTCTCAGGTCTCAGGCTCGAAAATGACATTCCCAGAACAAATGACCATATCTTCCCTTCTAAAAGGGGAAAATGAATAATCTTTTTTCTCAAAGTAATGATAAACCTGTGAGTTGGATGTAGAAAAGTCAGAATCAATATAGATGTTTTTTATTTTAAAGAAAATTCAGATTGAACATGAAAAAACTGTAAATGATAGTGTCTGTCCAAAAATTCTTTTTTACTTATAGTGCAAACTACCCTTGGATGATGGGTTAGTAGACTAAAAGCTTTAGGAATCCAAAGTACAACATATAATAAGTACCCTGTATCAAGATTGATGCAAAACAAGTGACATTTGACCTTTTTAGAGAGGTTTAGCCAAAACCACCCCACCTCTGAGGTGATTTGGGTGAAAATGTTTTTTTTTCCATATCTCTGGCCCCCCTTGGTCGATTTTGATGGTTGACACCTCTTTCTGACCGTTAGAGCCAATAGAATCGAAGGGGGAGTTCCCCTCTCACACACACGGTACAAAAAAAAGGTGAGGGCTTCGCGCATGCATTTTTTTTGCGTGAACCTATACTCTCGCTCTGACATCTGGAAACGGAAAAGCAGTTTTATTGTTTATGGATTATCATAAATCATTTCAAAGGGACACAGACACATTAGATTAACCTATGGATTAACTTCAGCAGCGTTTTTATCGTTTTAATGCCATTGAACACTTCCTGCAGTCTGACTCACGTGATGAAGACGAGGTGACGGACACGGAGACGGACGCCTGCTGGAAGTTGGAGTTTCCGGAGTGTCCTTGAACTCGGCACACGTATTCCCCAGAGTCCTCTGGAGAGGCCAAGAGGATCCTCAGCTGACTGCCCAGCACCTGTAGAGAGGAGGAACACCACCTTAAACAACACCTAAACACCACCTAAACACCACCTAAACACCACTTTATAGACACCTTAAACAACACCTTAAACAACACCTAAACACCACTTAAACACCACCTAAACACCACTTTATAGACACCTTAAACAACACCTTAAACAACACCTTAAACACCACCTAAACAACAACCTAAACACCACCTTAAACACCACTTTATAGACACCTTAAACAACACCTAAACACCACCTTAAACACCACCTTATACACACCCTTAAACACCTTATAAACACCACCTTATAAACACCCTTAAACACCACCTAAACACCACCTTAAAAACACCACCTTATAAACACCACCTAAACAGCACCTAAACACCACCTTATAAACAACCTTAAACACCACCTTAATCACCACCTTATAAACAACCTTAAACACCACCTTATAAACACCACCTTAAACACCACCTTAAACACCACGTAACCACCACCTAAACACCACCTTAAACACCACCTAACCACCACTTAAACACCACCTTATAAACACCACCTTAAACACCACCTAAACACCACCTAACCACCACCTAACCACCACCTTAAACACCACCTTATAAACACCACCTTAGAAACACCACCTAATCACCACCTAAACACCACCTAACCACTACCTAACTACCACCTTAAACACCACCTTATAAACACCACCTAAACACCACCTTATAAACACCACCTTAAACACCACCAACCCCTCCCAACTTTAGTTTTATGAGTCAGGAAAGAATGCATAAGAAAGGGGGTGGAGTTGATATTTTGTTCAATGATTCCCTTCAATGCAGGAAGACATCTTATGGGGACTTTGCTTCTTTTGAATATGTGGCCCTTCAGCTGAAATGCTCCTCTCGAGCTCTGTTCCTAAATATCTATAGACCACCCAAATACTGTGCAAGCTTTTTTGATGATTTTACTGAACTGCTGTCTATAGTGTGTATTGACTTTGACCGTCTAGTCATTGTTGGTGATTTTAACATCCATGTTGACAACCCCCAGGACAGAGGGGCTAAAGAACTGTGTTCTTGATAACTATGGACTGACTCAGCATGTGGCGGAGCCCACGCACAATAAGGGGCACACTCTGGACTTAATTATCTCAAAGGGTCTGAATATCTCAAAGGTTGTGGTGACTGATGTTGCACTCTCTGATCATTCCTGTGTTTTCTTTGAGAGCTCTATTTCTGTTCACAAAAATGTTCAGAAAGAGGTAACCACAAAGCGATATTTAACTGAAAATACTAGGGAAATGTTTACTCATAATTTCTCTTCCACACTTGCCCTGCTAACATCTCAGTAAATGAGCTATTTTAATTCAAAAATTAAAAATGTTATAGATACCATTGCTCCAACTAAGGTAAAGGAAGTGATTAGCAAGAAAATATCTCCATGGAGAAAGGCCATGACCGTGAGAACAGAAAAAAGAGAGTGTCGAAAAGCTGAACGTAGGTGGCGAAAAACAAATCTCCAGGTTCACTTTGAAATCTATAAAGAGAGACTTGGCCTTTATAATTTGGAATTGAAAAACGCACGACAGTCTTTCTTCTCTGACATCATTACCAAAAACAAAAACAACGCACGTGCCTTGTTTGCTACCGTCGACAGACTAACTAACCCCCCAGTGTCAGTAGCCTCTGAATTTCTATCCACCAGGGCGTGCAATGATTTTGCCTCCTTCTTCACTGACAACATTCAGAAAATTAGACAAGCAGTCAGTGCCTCTACATCAGGTACAGCAAATGTTTTGTCCCTTTGTCCACCTAATATCAATTCAAACACCATGACACAATTCCATCAGATTAATGGTAAAAACTTAGAGGACATTATTCAACTTCTGAAATCCTCCTCCTGCTGCCTTGATATTATTCCAACAGGATTTTTCAAAGATGTTTTTCCTTGCATGGCCTCAGATCTACTTCATATAGTAAACACATCTCTTCACTCAGGTATTTTTCCAGAGGCCTCTGAAAACTGCAGTCATTAAACCGCTCTTAAAAAAGAATAATCTAGATGCCTCAGTAATGAACAATTACAGGCCCATATCAAACCTGCCATTTCTAGGTAAAATCATTGAAAAAGTAGTATTTCAACAGTTGAGTAACTTCTTGCATTTAAATAACTGTTTGGATGTGTTCCAGTCAGGATTTCGTCCAAACCACAGCACTGAGACTGCTCTTGTAAAGGTCTTCAATGACATCCACTTAAACACAGACAGTGGCAGAACTTCAGTGTTAGTATTATTAGATCTCAGTGCTGCATTTGACACTGTTGACCACAACATATTACTAGACCGACTAGAAAACTGGGTGGGACTTTCGGCAACAGTTCTAAATTGGTTTGAGTCCTACTTAAAGGACAGAAAAAACTTTGTTTCTATAGGTAAATACACATCTGAGTTGACAAATATGACATGTGGGGTACCTCAAGGCTCCATCTTGGGGCCTCTTCTCTTTAACATCTACATGCTACCACTGGCTCAGATAATGAAAAAGAACAAAATAAGTTACCATAGCTATGCGGATGACACACAAATTTACGTAACAATTTCACCAGGAGATTATGCTCCAATTCAAACACTGAGTAAGTGCATTGAACAAATCAATGACTGGATGTGTCAGAACTTTCTCCAATTAAACAAAGATAAAACTGAGGTAATGGTTCTTGGAGCCAAGGCAGAACGTATAAAAGTTAGCGCTGAGCTTCAGTCTGCAATGTTCAAAACAACAGATAAAGCCAGAAATCTAGGTGTAGTCATGGACTCTGACCTGAGTTTCAACAGTCACATTAAAACAGTTACTAAATCAGCCTACTATCACCTAAAGAACATATCTAGGATTAAAAGACTAATGTCACAGCAGGATTTGGAAAAACTTGTCCATGCTTTTATCTTCAGTAGACTCGACTACTGCAATGGTGTCTTTACAGGCCTCACTAAAAAATCTATTAGAAAGCTGCAGCTAATTCAGAACGCCGCTGCTCGAGTCCTCACTGACACTAAGAAAGTGGATCACATCACTCCTGTTCTGAAGTCCTTACACTGGCTTCCTGTGTGTCAAAGAATAGATTTAAAAATACTGCTGCTGGTTTATAAAGCTTTGAATGGTTTAGGCCCAAAATACATGTCTGACCTACTGCTAAATTATGAACCATCCAGAACCCTCAGGTCTTCAGGGACTGGTCAGCTTTCTGTCCCCAGAGTCAGAACTAAACATGGAGAAGTTCAGTTATTATGCTCCAAATATCTGGAACAAACTCCCAGAAACCTGCAGGTCCGCTGCAACTCTTACTACTTTTAAATCCAGGCTGAAGACTTTTCTTTTTGCCGCTGCTTTTAATTGAACTATTCACATCTGAAACTGCACTGTAACTTTTAACTTTTATCCATGTATTTTTTCTTTTAATGTTTATTTTATTATCTTTTCTTTTTAATGACTGATTTTAAATGCCATTTTTAAAATGTCTTCCATTTTTGTAAAGCACTTTGAATTACCTTGTGTTGAAAGGTGCTATATAAATAAACTTGCCTTGCCTTGCCTTGCCTTGCCTTGCCTTGCCTTGCCTTGCCTTGCCTTGCCTTGCCTTGCCTTGCCTTGCCTAACCACCACCTAAACACCACCTTATAAACACCACCTAACCACCACCTAAACACCACCTTATAAACACCACCTTAAACACCACCTAACCACCACCTAAACACCACCTTATAAACACCACCTTAAACACCACCTAACCACCACCTAAACACCACCTTATAAACACCACCTTAAACACCACCTAACCACCACTTAAACACCACCTTATAAACAACCTTAAACACCACCTTAAACACCACCTAACCACCACTTAAACACCACCTTATAAACACCACCTTATAAACACCACCACCTAACCACCACTTAAACACCACCTTATAAGCACCACCTTAAACACCACCTTATAGACACACTGACAATCACATTAATGCACACAATGTACACAATATCTGTTTTTTTTGTATTACTGCATATATTTTATTTTATTCTATTCTATTTCAATGTAAATACTGTGTGTGTGTGTGTGTGTGTGTGTGTGTGTGTGTGTGTGTGTTACCTGGTGGTTGGAGGACAGGCGTCCGCTGGCCTTGCTCCAGGTCACCTGAGGGGGGGGGTTTCCGGGGGCGAAGCAGCTGAGATCCAGACTCTGACCCTCCTGAACGTCAGCGATGGAGGGCTGGATGCTGACCGCTGAGGAGACGTGGTCTGCTGCTCACACACACACACACACACACACACACACACACACACACACACACACACACACACACACACACACACACACACACACACACACACACACACACACACACACACACACACACACACACACACACACACACACACACACACACACACACACACACACACACAACATTAACAACTTTGAATAAAAACACATTGTTATAATTACTGTATTATTGTAACTGCTTTGACCTCTGACCTTTGAGCACGGACACCTTGAGGGGCGAGCTGTTGGAGCCCACGCTGTTGCTGCCCACACACATGTAGGTCCCTGAGTCTGACCTCTGGATGTTGGGGATCAGCAGAGTGCCAATATCTGTGCGGTCCAAACGAGACTGAAACCAGAAGAGACCATCAAACATCTGTCTGTGAGATATCAGAGGCATTATAAAGGTCATAGAGAGGTGCAGGAATGAGTCCTAAACCCTGGCATGAGTCAGCATTAATCACTTCCTGTCCCCTGGTCTGGAGGTCAATGGTTTCTGAATGTGTGTTTGGTTGTTATCCTGAAAATAAGGTCCTTTATAGCCCAAAATTAGCCTCCTTTAGCTTAGCGGTGGTGACGTGAAGTCATGTGACCGTGCTGTAGTTCCTTTATAGCCCAACATTAGCCTCCTTTAGCTTAGCGGTGGTGACGTGAAGTCATGTGACCGTGCCGTAGTTCCTTTATAGCCCAACATTAGCCTCCTTTAGCTTAGCGGTGGTGACGTGAAGTCATGTGACCGTGCTGTAGTTCCTTTATAGCCCAACATTAGCCGCCTTTAGCTTAGCGGTGGTGACGTGAAGTCATGTGACCGTGCTGTAGTTCCTTTATAGCCCAACATTAGCCTCCTTTAGCTTAGCGTTACTGACGTGAAGTCATGTGACCATGCTGTAGTTCCTTTATAGCCCAACATTAGCCTCCTTTAGCTTAGCGTTAGTGACGTGAAGTCATGTGACCGTGCTGTAGTTCCTTTATAGCCCAACATTAGCCACCTTTAGCTTAGCGGTGGTGACGTGAAGTCATGTGACCGTGCTGTAGTTCCTTTATAGCCCAACATTAGCCTCCTTTAGCTTAGCGTTAGTGACGTGAAGTCATGTGACCGTGCTGTAGTTCCTCTATAGCCCAACATTAGCCTCCTTTAGCTTAGCGGTGGTGACGTGAAGTCATGTGACCGTGCTGTAGTTCCTTTATAGCCCAACATTAGCCTCCTTTAGCTTAGCGTTAGTGACGTGAAGTCATGTGACCATGCTGTAGTTCCTTTATAGCCCAACATTAGCCTCCTTTAGCTTAGCGGTGGTGACGTGAAGTCATGTGACCGTGCTGTAGTTCCTTTATAGCCCAACATTAGCCTCCTTTAGCTTAGCGTTAGTGACGTGAAGTCATGTGACCATGCTGTAGTTCCTTTATAGCCCAACATTAGCCACCTTTAGCTTAGCGGTGGTGACGTGAAGTCATGTGACCGTGCTGTAGTTCCTTTATAGCCCAACATTAGCCACCTTTAGCTTAGCGTTAGTGACGTGAAGTCATGTGACCGTGCTGTAGTTCCTTTATAGCCTAACATTAGCTTTTTTGTTAATATCTGGATATTATAAAATCACATGGAGGAATCCCATTGGACCAGGGAGATGCTGCCTTCAGGGACCAATACAAACATCCCTGCATCTCTCTATGAACACTATCACATCACACATGACTCACACAGTGAAGACAGAACATGACTTACCTCTCTGAACAACACAGATATGACATTATGACATAATGACGTTTCTATCTACAGCAACACAGAAGCACTACAGCGGGGTCTTTAGGACAGACAGTTACAGATCAGTTTCTGAGCAGATGATCTTAAATCACACTGAACTTCATCAGGAAGCTGCACAGAGCAACACGTCTACAACGATCAGCGTTAACACATCGGGGACTACTCTCTAACACATGAGGAGTTAGTGACACATCGATCTGAGACAGAGGTTACTCCATGAGCATTTTAAAGACGTTATTACCTGTGAAACCTGAGAGTAACCTTCAGGCCTGAAAACCAGTGGTGGAATCTAATGAAGTAAATGTACTCAAGTACTTTACTTAAGTACAAATCTGAGGTACTACATGTATATCTGAGTATTCTATTTTCATGCTACTTCATACTTTTACTCCAATACATTTATAGGACTCCTTTTACAGGTTTGGATATTAGTTAACATTTAAGGTACTTTAAGTGTATTTTGACACCAATATTGGAATTTTACTTTGGGTACCTTAAGTGTATTTTGACACCAATGCTAGTACTTTAAATGAAGGTATTTTAAGTGTATTTTGATGCATATACTAGTACTTTTACTTTGGGTACTTTAGGTGTATTTTGACATTTACTTTGGGTACCATAAATGTAATTTGACACCAATACTTGTACTTTTAATTAATGTTCTTTAAGTGCATTTTGACGCCAATACTTGTACTTTTAATGAAGGTACTTTTAGTGTATTTTGACACCAATACTAGTACTTTCACTTTGGGTACTTTAAGTGTATTTTGACACAAATACTTGTACATTTACTTTGGGTACTTTTAGTGTATTTTGACACCAATGCTAGTACTTATACTTTGGGTACCATAAGTGTAATTTGACACCAATACTTGTACTTTTAATTAATGTTCTTTAAGTGTATTTTGACGCCAATACTTGAACTTTAACTTAGGGTACTTTAAGTGTATTGTAATGCCAATACTTGAACTTTAACTTAGGGTACTTTAAGTGTATTTTGACACCAATACTTTTACTTTTAATTAAGGTACTTCAAGTGTATTTTGACGCCAATACTTGAACTTTAACTTAGGGTACTTTAAGTGTATTTTCACGCCAATACTAGTACTTTTACTTTTGTACTATATGTGTAATTTGACACCAATATTAGCACTTGTTGAACTTTAAGTGTATTTTGACGCTTATGCTAGTTCTTTAACTTTGTGTACTTTAGGTGTATTTTGAAGCCAATACTTGTAGTTTAACTTTGGGTACTCTACGTGTATTTTGAAGCCAATACTTGTGCTTTTACTTGTTAAAACTATGAATGCAGGACTTGTCCTTGTAGCAGAGTATTCTGAAACTGTAGTATTGCTACTTGATATAAAACTTCTGAATACTTCCACCACTGCTGAACCCAGAATATCATGACAAACTAAACCCTGCATTACTGTAACTCCTCAACAAGCTGCTTTCTAATAACCCAGCTCTCTGTCTGTTCCTCAGAGGCTCAGCAGGCCTGAATATGAGCTTTGATAAAGTTTGGAAGCACCTCGGGTCAGAGGGGGGAGGGGGGGTTACTGTATGGGTGTGGGGGCATTCAGGGACACAGCTGCTGGAGCGTAAAGCTCAGCGCTGAGGCTCAGTGTGTGTCTGCAGCTTCTCAAAGCAAAGCGTCTGCAGAGCTCACACAGTTTCTGCCTGGCCGCTCTGCAGAGCCTCGGCCTGGGAAAGGCTTGTGTAGGAGTTTAAAACACTAACACAACACACCGAGGAGTATGTCTGAATACCTCCAGAACCTTCTGTTTACTCAGTACGGGGGGGGGGGGGTTGGTGCTATGCTATAACACCCCTTGTTGTTAAATACAAACTATGTGCAATCATAGTTTGGATATACTCGTTACAAATGTACATTTCCCCTCTTTGGGACGAATAAAGGTATTCTGATTCTAATGATGAGGGGGGGGGGGGGGGGGGGGGGGGGTGATGAGGACAAAACAAGACACTATGGAACAATTATTAATAAACGCAACATAAAAACAGAATGCAAATACAGTCAGGGCGCCTTCACAAGACAACGCTTAGTCCGGTGTAATCTGGTGTGGTAAAAAAAACAGGAGTTCAACCGCATTCAAATGTGCATCATGATTAAAGAGAACCATTACCCATGTCCCGCCCCTCAGCCTATCATGGACAATGTGTTGGAGCGCCAGCCAATAGGAGAGCCAGGGTTCCATAGTGATGTCACTTTACTAGATTTCTCCCTCGGGTAGTTCTGCTGTACCTTGTGATGCCTTTCTGTTGATTACGGTGACAAGATCACTTTCCCAATGGTCCTACAATGCAGGATTACAGCCTGAGGTGGACAGGTACAGGATATACATCTTTTTATATATATTTGTATTTTTGTATTCGGGATAGTTGACTTTTGACTTTGATAACTTTAACGTCCACAGAAAGGTATGTAAAGTAATTGGAAATAAACTGGAGGATAAACCAATGTGCACGAGTCTGTGGACAGAAGTGGGAGCTATCTAAAAAGCTAATTGTTTACTTATTGTATCCTTTAATTAGAGCACTAATAACCAGATTCAATGGAATACAATAATAACAAGAACCCTAAATATGACCAGAGACAGACGGACTTGTGAAGGCGTCCCAACGAGTCGACCAGCCGGCTGACTTCATGTATTTGCATCTTAACGGGCTGGGTGAGCAGCGAATTATCAGTTGACAGGATCATGTGACCATGTGATCATGTGACCATGTGACCATGTGATCATGTGATTATCATGCATTAGTGACAGCGTGAGGACGAGGTGAGTATAGACGATGATGAGGACGGACAGATGGACAGACCTGCAGCTCCTCAATACGTCTCTGTAACACATCGAGACTGTTGCTTTTAAACTGATGGAAACCGAGAGAGGGAATGGCCTGAGCAAACGTCACAACGAGGGGGGGGGGGGATCAAAAACAAAAAACCATGGGGGGAGGAGACAAACAGAGAAATAAAGAGTAGATGTCAAAATGCGGAACAATACAAACATAATGTTGAATTCCATCGGCATCGGACACACCTTTGAGAGGAAATCAGATTAATATCACGGCAAAATGTGAATGTGTTAAAGTGACGGTGCTGCAGCGGTGAGGGGGGGGGCTCACCTGGGGGGGGGATCTGACCCCCGTTCTTCAGCCAGGTGAGTTTCGGGGTCGGGGATCCTGTCGCTCTGCAGTACAGACGGACGTTGTCTCCTTCGTGGGCTTCGATGTTCTGAGGACTGACCTGAACCTGAGGCTGCGTGCCGACAACGCTCGGGTTCGACTCTGAAACAGAAGGAATTGTTAACATTAAAAGAATCCACAAAAAATCTAAAAACACAAAGAATTCAGACACAAAAAACTGACACGTTTTAAAAAACTAAGAACTTAAAAAAACAAAACAAAAATTGAGAACACACAAAAAAAGTATAATTAAAAAAAACTTCAAAAGAATAAAATATGATCATTAAAAAACACACCCCCACCACAGCTAGTTGACGGAAAAACCACTAACCCAATTATTAACAAACAAATTCTAAAAACACAAAGAATTCAGAATACACACACAAAACTGAGAAGTTTCAACAACACCAAAAAAATTGAGAAAAGGCAAAAAAGACACCAAAAACCGAAACATTTTTATAATTTACTTAAAATAAAATATGATGATCAAAAAACACACTAACCCCACCACAGCTTACTTACAAAAAAAACACTCGCCCATTTCATTAACCTTAGTAAAGGGTGTAACACGGGAAAAGGAAGAACCATCACATCTTAAAACGGATACGAATCATAGGGAGGAAACACAAATTATTTTCCTACTCTCTGACTTTTCCCTTGGCAGAATCTTCCTGTTTCCTCCCAGTTTAACTCCGACTCCCCACGCCTACTTACACAGTAATAGCAAACATTTCAGGACCAATTCATTTCAATTTAAGGACCCAACAAGGCCCAGTTTGAGAAACAGGTCAAGGTTCATTACCGTCACACTCTCTCGGGCCACAAAATGTAAAAACAAGTCAAAAGTCATAATTCCCATCTCTTAGCATGTCTAAAAACTCGTAATGATTTTTAAGACTCTTTAAGGACCCTGCCAGCCTACCCATCCCAAATATTATAAAACTCATAATATTGGTTTACATTGTGGGGACCGGGCATTTGGTCCTGATTCTGTTGGTGGTCCCCACAAGGCCCGTAAAACAGGCTTTTGTGTGATACCGATTAACAAACACAGTCTTACTTTGCACGAACAGGGAGACCCGCACTGTGTTTTCCCCGTGTGTGTTCAGGGCCTTGCAGGTGTACTCCCCCTCATCAGCTGGATCCACGGCGCTGAAGCTCAGGACGCCTCCTCTGACCACAGCTCGGGGGCTCATCCTGTTCCCCGGACCCCCTGCAACAACACACAGGCACACAGAGGGGTTAGACCTATTCCCGTGTTGGTCCCTGAAGGCAGCATCTCCTTGGTCCAATGGGATTCCTCCATGTTAGTTTGGATTATTGCAGAAAATAATGTCTGTGTCAAACAAACGTTTCTGATACTTACAGGTTTAGTTCAGCAGGATAATCTCCACATATAAACACCACTTCATGATTTCTGAAGTAAGAAGCTAACGTTAAGCTAAAGGAGGCTAATGTTGGGCTATAAAGGAACTACAGCACGGTCACATGACTTCACGTCACCACCGCTAAGCTAAAGGAGGCTAATGTTGGGCTATAAAGGAACTACAGCACGGTCACATGACTTCACGTCACCACCGCTAAGCTAAAGGAGGCTAATGTTGGGCTATAAAGGAACTACAGCACGGTCACATGACTTCACGTCACCACCGCTAAGCTAAAGGAGGCTAATGTTGGGCTATAAAGGAACTACAGCACGGTCACATGACTTCACGTCACCACCGCTAAGCTAAAGGAGGCTAATGTTGGGCTATAAAGGAACTACAGCACGGTCACATGACTTCACGTCACCACCGCTAAGCTAAAGGAGGCTAATGTTGGGCTATAAAGGAACTACAGCACGGTCACATGACTTCACGTCACCACCGCTAAGCTAAAGGAGGCTAATGTTGGGCTATAAAGGAACTACAGCACGGTCACATGACTTCACGTCACCACCGCTAAGCTAAAGGAGGCTAATGTTGGGCTATAAAGGAACTACAGCACGGTCACATGACTTCACGTCACCACCGCTAAGCTAAAGGAGGCTAATGTTGGGTTATAAAGGAACTACAGCACGGTCACATGACTTCACGTCACCACCGCTAAGCTAAAGGAGGCTAATGTTGGTCTATAAAGGAACTACAGCACGGTCACATGACTTCACGTCACCACCGCTAAGCTAAAGGAGGCTAATGTTGGTTGTGATGATGTTTAGTCGTCTCATTTAGACACTTGCTAGCTCCCTCCGTTTTTTAAATCCACCAGTGGGGTATTAACTGACGTATTACATGTCTTAGAACAAAACGTTCAAATCTCTTCAGCTTGTGTTAACCACAGACCTTATGTCAGTCTAACAACCAAAAACACATTCAGAAAACCATTGACCTCCAGACCAGGGGACAGGAAGTGATGAAAATGAGTCAACAGAAAGTACTCGTACCGATCCATTCGATGGCGGCGGTGGGGTTTCCGGTCACGGTGCAGCGAAACTCTGCCCGTTGACCCTGTATGACGTTCAGGACGGTCGGGGAGACGTTGGCCACAGGCAGAGTGCCTTCTGAAGCTAAAGGAAGGGAAACAGGAGTCATAAAAACATCAAACCGGAGAAGGACACCACCTAGAGGCTCGTGGAGGAATGAAGCGTGATAATGAAGACTGGCGAGGTGGTGGTGAAATGGAAATCAGGAGTTTATGATGCATACCTTGGAACTACACTAGACGCACAACCTGATATGTTCTGGGGTCTCTCACTAAAGGAAAAGCTAAATGGTCAGATCCACTAAAGATATCCAGCTAATTAAATTGTGGCGCTAACTTTAAGCTCAATTACAAACACGGAAGTACAGTGGAGGCTGATCCCATATGTTTTGTAGATATACATTCATAAATTTAACCATTCTTTTTTTTATTTGGACTTGATTGGTGGCGCCAGATAAAAATGTGAAAGTTTCCCAAAGCTATTAGAAATCATCCTGAAGGGAACACAAGTGTGTGAACCAATTTTCATGATAATACATCCAATAGTTTCCAATCAAAATCACAAATGGGGTGCGCAAGGAAATGTCTGGCGATCCCCAGTAATGGCAAATAATCTCCCAGGAATGTATAGGGTTTATTCTCCCAGCTGTAACACATATCTAAACATATATAGCTAAACTTAGCTTAATTGCTAGATACCGCTCGAGGTCAGGAATGAAAAGACTTGTCTCTTTAACTTGGATTAACTTCCATCAATGATATCCTATTAATTGAGTAATTTCAGGATCTTTTCCATCTGTTTGACGCATTGGAACTGGTCCAGAGTCAGATCTGATGATACCCCGGTGAGATGGGATGTGTTAGGCACAGTATGATGTTTGAAGCCCAGATAACAGCTATTCACAGGACAGAAGGAGAAGAAGAAGATGAAGAAGAAGAAGAGGAAAGAGATAAGGATGAAGAAGAAGAAGTAGAAGGGACATATCTCGTCTCTGAATGTGGAGACATTATAAGTAAACATCTAGCTACTGACTGAATAACTAAAGACAAAATCATTGAGCAGCCTGGGTTAAACCAAGTCTCTGAATGGAGTAATCCATTTTAATTCAAGGGACATTACCCTCCATTATCCCACAATTATCTTAAGAATGAAACCGGTCGGTGCCTGTATGGACAACACAACGCTGACTCTGATATTCTTCCCTGATGGAAACTAAGCTCCACATTCGTGAGGATTCGCCCTGAGGAGGATTTATCTTTCCTGCAGTGATGGACCCGATGAACCCAAAGAGGACAGAGCCGGTGACGCTCGTACAGAACAACCTCCACAGGAAACAGAACCACTGAAAACAAATCTTTAAACTCAGGGGTGTCCAAACTACGGCCCGGGGGCCAAATGTGGCCCGCGGTAAATTTTGAAAACGGCCCTCAGCTCATTCAAAAAGTATAATGCAATACGGCCTTCAAATAAACGTGTGCTTGTCATGTATTCTACTTCTTAAATACAGATACAAATATTACACAGTATTCATGTGTTAATGAGTCCACTTTTCAAATAAAGTCAATTCATGTTGGAAAAATGTCAAACAAATCTTAGTTTGCCGAATAACTTATTTCCATAACAAGCTTGACATCTAGCCTTCAAGCTTCTGAAGGAATGAGCTTTCAAGTAAACCCTCTGGAGAGCTGGGATGTTTCTTAAAGCATATTCAAGTATCAAGCATCATTTACCTACATTTGATTGATTTTGCTAACTTATAACTTAACTGATAAGGCGATATACCTCTTGTGACTTGTTTTTAGGGTTAGGGTTGTGGCCCTCAGTGAAAGAAGTTTGGACACCGCTGCTTTAAACTAAAGGCGTCTGCTCACAAAGAGCGTGAGACTTGCTGTTTTTTCTTGTAGAGTTTCCTGCAGAAGTTGTTTGTACATGGCGCTACCCACTTCCAAGCTGAGGAAGAAGAAGCATGCAGGACCCAGAGAGAGGAAGGGTCTGTTCGCAGAGAGGAAACCATGCCCATGCGGACTTACGCTTCCCGTGTCCTTCAAACATTTCATAGGCTGTGTAAAACATCTGAGTCTGTGAGGCCTCTGGAGGGAGGAGGGGGGGGGGGGGGGGGGGGGGGGGGGGGGGGAGAGGTCAGGTTTCTGGGACAGTTTACCTCCCTGCAGAATATCTCCCACTGTGGACCGCCGTGGGTTTGTCCAAATGGTTCCAAAAACACACGATTCAAACATGCTTCATGAATTAAACTGGCACCAACCGCAGGAACGTTCACCAGACTGTGGAACCTTTTAAAGGTCTCCTGTTATCCTGTTTCTCATCAATATATCACAGGTCTCAGATATATCCAGAACATGTCTCTGATTGGCTGAAACACCAAACAGATCATTGCAGCATTACCCATAATCCCCTCTGTTTCAGCCCTGTTTCCAAAGTGCTGATTCTCTGTCTGTTACTTCAGATGAAAATAAGGAGCCCCTCCCCACGCCCCTCTGAGAGACATTTGGTTACAAAGAACTCAATGGTGCTCTAGGAGGACATTCAGGTGATAAGGGGGGGGGGGGGGGTTACCTTGGTTGCTGATTGGCTCATGGTTACTCAAGACAAAACATCGTTATGACATCATAAAGTGGCCAAAATCTGATCAGCTCATTTTCAGACAGGTTTTTATGCCAAAAAGCATTCGCGTAAAGCGTTGTTACAGCTGTTTGTGGGATTTTCCATGACTACCACAAATAGCTCACTGATACAAAGCACAATGGGCATGTCTAAGGTGGTTTTAAGTGATTCATCCTGTATCAGTATACATATTGCCAGTTGAATCAGATCAATAACAGCTTATTATTAACTTTACATGTAAATATAATAGTTTGTTTTTCCAAGTTCTAGACTCCTTCCTGTGCAGGGCCTTCTGTTTGAACCGTAAGTCTATGAACGTTTATAACACGGTTCCTCGTCTGAGTGTTTTGCTCCGTGGAGTTTTGCTGAACATACTCTTTGACTTCTTCACTAAATACTGTCTTTGGGGTTTCAGAGAACAAGGCAACAAACCATCTCGTTCAGCATGAGCATCCAATGGGGTCTACTCATGAAACAGACATTTTAAACAGTTCCTTTAATCTAACGTCAGCGGGGTCATTTACCTGAGCAGCTAAACAACGTGTTATTGAACCCAAATCAAAAGTGCTTCTACCTTTTTGAGATCATTGATTCCTCGGTTGGTGCCGTTTAATTCATATTTTAACAATCACTCACCTGATGCATTGAGAACAGCAACAACAGGTGTTACAAGAACGTTGGTTAGTGTCTTTAATGATCTCACACTCAACAACAACGATGCAAAATGCTTTTTATGCAAAGTCAAGATAAACACACACACACACACACACACAGAGACACACACACACACAGAGACACACACACACACACAGAGACACACACACACACCACACCACACACACACACCACACACACACACACACACACACACACACAGAGACACACACACACACACACACACACCACACACAGAGACACACAACACACAAGAGAGAGACACACACACAACACACACACAGAGACACCACACACACACACACACACACAGAGACACACACACACACACACACACAGAGACACACACACACAGACACACACACACACACACACACACAGACACACCCACACCACACACACAGAGACACACACACACACACACAGAGACACCCACACACACACACAGAGAGACACACACACACACACACCCACACACACAGAGAGACACACACACACACACACACACACACACACACAGAGAGAGAGACACACACACACACAGACACACAGACACACACACACACACACACAGACACACACACACACCACACACACACACACACAGACACAGAGACACACACACACACACACACACACACACACAGAGACACAGACACACACACACACACAGAGACACACACACAGACACACACCACACACACACACACACACACACACACACACCACACACACACACACACACACACACACACACACACACACACACACACACACACACACACACACACACACACACACACACACACACACACACACACACACACACACACACGCACACACACACAGAGGAGGCGTGCAGGTTAGTAGCAGGAAGCAGTTTTTAGACATTAAAACTAGTTCACATTCAGCGGTTAAAAAGCCGGCATACAGCTTGTGGTGATCCTCTTTTTATCAAGGTCATATATATATTTTATTATAATAATAATGATATATAAATGAGCCCGGTCCATGAACTAGAAAATCACTTTCTCATTATTTTAATCCATTTTTCACAACATACTTTCACAGTTAAGATGAATACAGGTGTGCATTACATCAGGTGGACGTCCTTTCTAAATCAAATGGAAATCTTTACAGAAGCACCTTTGGGTTTTATTTTCAATCAAGTTCAACATAATGCAGTCATTGTGAAGTAAACGTGTAATTAAAGAGAGATATAAAAATATTTTCTGATAGAAACATCATGCAATGCATCGTCATGGCCAATCCCCATGGAACAACAACACGTGGTTTACTGTGAGACATTCAGGTACACATTTCAGTCAGTACAAATATATATAAAAAAGAAACAACAATGACAGCGTGTAAATTAAAGACCATAATATACAGAAGTGGTTATTATCGACAAGATAGGTATAAAAAACTCCCTTTTTCTTTTGCATTTCAAGTCAGATGTTAAATATTCTACCAAACATGACGCTAACGGAAATAATAATAATTAGAAATGTGATTCAGCGTCAGGTTTACAGACTGTAGCACCATGAGATAGAGAACATGTGGTTCCTCCTGCGTTTCCAAGTCCTTTCTGAACGTCAGTCGTTGTCCGGTTTCCTCCCCATCACTACAGCTCTGGCAGGGGGGGGGGTTTGGAGGTGAGGATAGAGACCCCAAAGCTAACACCCTGCTCGTAAAAACCTCCAAAAACCAGGAAGAAGCCACCACACCACCACCGAGGGGTTTCAATATAAAGAGGGGGAAATCTGCAGGAGCCAATCACGGACCCCCAGAGAGCTCATGTGACCTGACGTTTAGATTTAAAGATCTGCTATCATGCTGCTTTTAGGCGTATAGTACAAAGGCGTATTTTGCATGATAGGAGACCTTTAAAACCTCCTTGTGTTATCTAGAGATGTTGTTCTGTCATATCGTTTTAGTTTGAATTAAACCCACAAGCTGTATTTCTTCATATAAAGTCCAGGAAAGGCACGAAACAGGAGTTAGAAAGCGTCGTTTGTTGCAGAGCAGAAGCGTGGCGGTTAGAAGCGTGTTGGTCTAAAGGGTCCTAATGCAGGGAAACAGAAAGCATGGCATGCACCACTGCAAGCTGGAAGAGGGGGGGGGGGGGGAGGGGGAGGAGCCAGAGCAGGGGCTGATGGGTAATGTTGTGCCGTGGATCACGAACCTGGCACGTAGAGGACGGCGGTGCCCTCGTCCATGGCGAACATGTTGGACCCGGTGCAGACGTAGACGCCGGCGTCCTCCGGCTGCACGTTCTGGACCGTCAGGATCCCGTTGAAGTCCATCGCTCGAGTGGGAAGCTTCCCGTTGCCTTTCCGGGTCCAGACCAGGGTGTAGGCCGGAGACTGGGGGGGGGGGGGGAGATAAGATTAGATAGTACTTTAATGGTGTACTTTTACTCCACTACAGTTCAGTTTATAAAACGGATAAGTCAAATCAAGCAATCTGATTGGTTCTTAGCCGTGATATAATGAGCGTATATCACGGGTAGAATTGTAGATACTTTTCACAAATCAAATCAAATCAAGTTTTATTTATATAGCACATTTTTAAAACCCTTTTTGGTGGAGCCAAAGTGCTGTACATGTAATAAAAACACTTTACTACAATAGCAAACAGAAGACAATAAATACAAATCACACACAGGGAAATGTCAGTATCCCTCGCGTCTGAGGAACAGCTACAACAGCTACAACCGTTACAGCTGTTACGTTACGTCCGTTAGGAAACTAACTAACTAACTAAGCTTAAGATGGAAACATGTAAGGTTAACTTGGACCTCCGGGGGGTCTCACTATGGAGGAGTGGATTGAGCAGTGCCTATCTCCAGAGAGCACCTAAACCACGACATGCAGAGCTACGTGAAGAGCAGGTAGACCAACTGGAAAGGTATCACCATTCAAAAGCTTTCTGATGCGGGTCTTGAAACAAAGCAGAGACATGATGACCGTTAGTGGCCACAGGTGTGAAAGCTCTCTCCAGAGCTACTGGAAGCCCAATCTGGAAAGTGGAGCAATATTCTCTCCACGCCAAGCAATAGCCTAGAACAACCTCAGCCTATACAAGTAACCTCGTAAGCCATGCTACTGATGCTGGACAGGTTTTCAGAGGCTGCACAATAAACAACAACATACACATTAATGTAAATAAATAGCCAAATAATGGATCAACGCTGAATGTTTAATGTGTTCGCTAGCTGTTAGTGTTGTTGCCTGGCAACCACCTCGCACTATGTTTTGTGCAGAAGGCAACGGAGGGACTATTTTATTTTGAACATCATTATTTACTAATAACAACTATTTAAATTAGAGTGTGTATTTTTCTTTCATATTGCCACACTTGGTAACCGTTTTATAAAAGCAATAGCTCACTTCAGGCCGTGATATATGCTCATTATATCACAGCTAAGGGGCGTTGTTCGGCCCGACGCGAAGCGGACGACCATATGATGACCATATACCACGGCCTGTCGTGAGCTATTGCTTAAGTAGTTCTCAGAGAGTGTTACCTTGCTCTTGGCGGTGCAGATGAAGCTGGCGGTGGCCCCCAACCTGACGGTCTGAGACTGAGGCTCCTCCACGGTCACCTCGATGGCTTTAGAGGGAACACCTGGAGAGAGACAGACACATCACTTCATACTCCATACAAACAGTTCATTCATTTCTGAGACACATGTTTTTATTTCTGAACATCTGACAATTCCCACTTTTTTATCTCTAAGATTTTGGAAAAAAATGATATGTTTTCAAGAAATATAAAATAAAGATTTTTTTTTTCAAATAGCTAAAAAATTTCTTTTTTTTTTTTTTACAGATTTTTATGAAAAAAGTCAGATTTTGAGACAAACTCTCGAAACTTCGAAAAAAACACATTATTTTTTATTTTCTGGAGAACATTTTTTTTCTCTCTAGTAAAATGTAGAATCCCCCCAAAACCTTTTTTTCTGATTTGATTTCTCAGATTTTTTTGTTTACTTCTCAGATTTATGAAAAAAAGGGTTAGTATTTTTTTTCAAAAGATCTGAGGGAATTCTGAAAGAGTATTTTTGGGTGAATTTGCTCCTAAAATGTTAGAATGCTTTTTCTGAGAACTTTTTTTTTCAGAACACGTCAGAATCCTGAGATGAAAGGACTCTGCCGTTAAAACATGATATTCCATCGTCAGTATTCAGTGTTTCCTCTCACTTGTGACCACGATCTCCGCCCTGCTGCGGTTGGTGCTGCGGTTGTCTCTGCACGTGCACACGTACACGCCTCCATCACTCTGCTGCACGCTGGGGAAGAACAGCTCTGCTCCTACACACACACACACACACACACACACACACACACACACACACACACACACACACACACACACACACACACACACACACACACACACACACACACACACACACACACACACACACACACACACACACACACACACACACACACACACACACACACACACACACACACACACACACACACACCGTTATTTCAGGCAGTCTGGCTCCAGTGATATTTTACTTTACTTTATATTAATTAGTTGTTGTATTGAATGAATAAGTGTGTACAGAGTGTGTATAGTGTGTGTATAGTTTGTGCATTGTGTGTATAGTGTGTGGTGTGTAGTGTGTATAGTGTGTGTATAGTGTGTGCATTGTGTGTATAGTGTTGTGTGCTAGTGTGTGTATAGTGTGTGGTGTGTAGTGTGTATAGTGTGTGGTGTGTAGTGTGTATAGTGTGTGGTGTGTAGTGTGTATAGTGTGTGGTGTGTGGTGTGTAGTGTGTATAGTGTGTGTGTATAGTGTGTGGTGTGTAGTGTGTATAGTGTGTGGTGTGTAGTGTGTATAGTGTGTGGTGTGTAGTGTGTATAGTGTGTGGTGTGTAGTGTGTATAGTGTGTGGTGTGTGGTGTGTAGTGTGTATAGTGTGTGTGTATAGTGTGTATAGTGTGTGGTGTGTAGTGTGTATAGTGTGTGTGTATTGTGTGTGTCACCTTGTCTGCGTCGGTCGGCGCCGGCTGAGATGGGCCTCCCGTCCTCTCTGGACCAGAAGAAGTAATGAGGAGGAGAACCAGAGACCTGGCAGCGCAGAGTGACCGACCCCCCCTGAGAGGAGGAGACCCTCTCTGGGTACACCTTCACCACCAGAGAGGCAGCTGCTGGGGGAGAGAGGGGAGTCAGAACTACTGTAGGAGAGGGGACTGGGGGGAGAGAGGGGAGTCAGAACTACTGTAGGAGAGGGGACTGGGGGGGAGAGAGGGAGTCAGAACTACTGTAGGAGAGTGGACTGGGGGGGGGAGAAGAGGGGGGGGAGTCAGAACTACTGAGAGGAGAGGGGACTGTGGGGGAGAGAGGGGAGTTCAGAACTACTGTAGGAGAGGGACTGGGGTGGGAGAGAGGGGAGTCAGAACTACTGTAGGAGAGGGGACTGGGGGGGAGAGAGGGGAGTCAGAACTACTGTAGGAGAGGGGACTGGGGGGAGAGAGGGGAGTCAGAACTACTGTAGGAGAGGGGCCTGTGGGGAGAGAGGGGAGTCAGAACTACTGTAGGAGAGGGGACTGTGGGGAGAGAGGGGAGTCAGAACTACTGTAGGAGAGGGGACTGGGGGGAGAGAGGGGAGTCAGAACTACTGTAGGAAGGGGGACTGGGGGGAGAGAGGGGAGTCAGAACTACTGGGAGGAGAGGGGACTTCCTGAAGGTCCACTCCTTGTTTCTGTACCACTGAGTCAAACTGGATGTGTTTTTAGCAGAACTTCAAAATCAAAAAATGGAACTCTCCAGAGAATCTCGATTTGTCGTTCCTCTTACGGGGAAAAGAATAATTAAATGCCACTTAAAGTTGGAGTTACTCCACTTACACACTCAAGCACACCTTTATAAATATGTATACCGTTAACTGAAAGGCAACGGTAGCTATATTATCTCCAATACACACATCTGGTGTTCTCTAAACAACATGTGCACACTTTGCTCGGATACAGATGTTTCATCACTGTTGGGAGAATAGTGAACGTCCTCCTCCAACATGAGAGCAACATGCTAACAAAGGTATCCCAGCTGTAGCTGTGAACATGACAGGATGTATGATTACCTAGAAGAGCATCAGGACTGTTTGAGGCATATGATAGCTATGTGATGAACATGATGATTCAGCCTCTATGGAGATAGACATATGACAAGCATGCTCATTTCTGATGTGGAGCTAATCTGAAGTAAACATTGAATACTGCTTTCTATTCCTCCATCTTGTGACTGTGTAACTCCCTCTCTTGGATATCAGCATGTGAAGGACACTGTTCAGGAACTAGTTGATGCTCTGTATGTGATGACTACTTCCATTCTGGAGAGGATCACACATACATGGATCCTGAGATTGAAGCTCAAGCCGGGGACCAGGGATTATTAACATTTTTAAGTATTCGGAAAAAGTCCGAATTTTTGAGATGTTGAGAAAGTCATATTTTTTTGATATTTGAGAAAAAGTCATATTTTTTAGATTTTTGAGAAAAAGTCAGAATTTTGAGAAAAAGTCAGAACTTTGTGATTTTGAGAAAAAGTCAGATTTTTGAGAAAAAGTCAGATTTTTGAAAAAGTCAGATTTTTGGGGATTTTGAGAACAATTCAGGATTTTTGATATTTTGAGGAAAAAGTCAGGATTTTGAGAAAAAGTCAGAATTTTGAGAAAAAGTCAGGTTTTTTTTAAAAGTCAGATTTTTGGGGATTTTGAGAAAAAGTCAGGATTTTGAGTTTTGAGGAAAAAGTCAGGATTTTGAGAAAAAGTCAGAATGTTGAGAATTTTGTACATGACAGGATGTACTGCTTTCTATTCCTCCATCTTGTGACTGTGTAACTCCCTCTCTTGGATATCAGCATGTGAAGGACACTGTTCAGGAACTAGTTGATGCTCTGTATGTGATGACTACTTCCATTCTGGAGAGGATCACAGATACATGGATCCTGAGATTGAAGCTCAAACTGGGGACCAGGGAGAGTTTTCTAACACTCACCATCGTACGGTCGACACCTGACTCTCTCCTGGGGGTTTCCAACGTATCCCTGAGCGCAGCTGAGGAGGAACACACCATGTTCAGGTTAGCATGAAGGATGAGAGAGCTGCACATCATAGATCAGTGAACGCCTCACAGTGACATCATAAAGGAATGAACGTCTCACCGCTCGCAGTACTGTCCTGTGTACCCGGGCTGGCAGGCGGTGCACTGATACCCTCCGTTACCCAGACTCTCACAGGTGGGGGAGAACCTGGGGGGGAAAGCAACGTCAATATAGCATAATATGTAAAAACGTACATTGCAAAAAACATTTAACTACTACTGTCTCCCAGTCAGCATATGAAGTTAAGGCTCTGCTAGTATGCAAAATGCTCTTAGTTAGGGGGGGGGGGGGGGGGGGGTGGGTGGGACTCACTGGTTGTCAGGGTCGGTGTGGGGGCAGGCACAGGACTGGCAGTCCTCGGGGGTCCCGGCTGTCGGATCTCCAAAGAACCCGGCGGCGCACTGCTCACACAGCTCTCCCTGGGTGCTGTGCAGGCAGCTCTGCAGGGGGGGGGGGGGGGGCAGGGTTAATACACCTATAGTCTAGTGGTTCTCAACTCAAAGACATGCGTACATATAGCACCGTCACAACTCACTTAAAAACATGGTTCACTGAGAACCTGCACACACTCGTCTGTGTTGGATGTGGTGTGTGTGTTACATGTTGTGTTAGATGTTGTGTTACATGTTGTGTTAGATGTTGTGTTACATGTTGTGTTACATGTTGTGTTACATGTTGTGTTACATGTTGTGATACATGTTGTGTTACATGTTGTGTTACATGTTGTGATACATGTTGTGATACATGTTGTGTTACATGTTGTGTTACATGTTGTGTTACATGTTGTGTTACATGTTGTGATACATGTTGTGTTACATGTTGTGTTACATGTTGTGTTACATGTTGTGATACATGTTGTGTTACATGTTGTGATACATGTTGTGTTACATGTTGTGATACATGTTGTGATACATGTTGTGTTACATGTTGTGTTACATGTTGTGTTACATGTTGTGTTACATGTTGTGATACATGTTGTGTTACATGTTGTGTTACATGTTGTGTTACATGTTGTGATACATGTTGTGTTACATGTTGTGATACATGTTGTGTTACATGTTGTGTTACATGTTGTGTTACATGTTGTGTTCATGGACCCCTCCTTTCTGTGATTGTGATGTGCTATATGTGACATGTATGTAGTAACGTGTGTTGTTTGCATGTTATTGTTCTCTTTTATCCTCTCTCCTCTTTCTACTCGTCTTTCATCCTTTCTTTATAACTAATGCTGTTGATGTATTGTGATTTTAAAAAGGTGTTTATTATCATCTGGACAACAGCTGGAAATGAGCAATGTTGGCTAAAGCTGCTCCATTTACTGATTGTGTGACAGTTGATCAATGGGGACTGTCCACGACACTATAAACAAATAAACTAAACTTATCTAAAATGGGACCCACTTTTTTCCTTCGTCAATAAATCGCGGCCCAAAGTTTTGAACCAACTCAAATGTATTTCACCAAAAATATTGCAGTAATATATTTGCTTCTCAGCATCCACTTGTAAGTAAAGTGAAGAACGGTGCATACATTTCAGTTAATGTAGTCCATGAAACCAAACCACATCCTCAACATTGTTAGTGCCATGCAAGGCAGAACATATCCCTTCACAGAACTAGAGTATGCTAAGTTTAAACTGATCATGGTCATCAAGTTTCTTATTTGTTCTCACATTTCTTTTTTTCACTCTCACATCTGCGACCCAGTTGAGAACCACTGGTCTAGATAACATATATATGAATGTGTCAAGAAGGAGGGGGCGTTGTTACCGTGCAGATTCCAGTCTCCGGGTGACAGGAGTCGGAGTGACCGTTACACTCACACGGCTCGCAGTGACCCAGGTACAGACCCCCCCCTGTGCGGGTGTAACCGGGGGCGCAGTCCTGCAGAGGAGGAGACACACGATGATTACCTGGCATGTTACTCACCTGGCAGGACAGTTCAATTACATTCACCTGGCAGGAGAGGCCCTGGTACCCGGGGGAAAGAGGCTCTAGTAATAGATTACCTGCAGTTACAGTAATAGATTACAGTGTGATGTTACCTGGGGGCTCTGGTAATAGATTACAGTGTGATGTTACCTGGGGGCTCTGGTAATAGATTACAGTGTGATGTTACCTGGGGGCTCTGGTAATAGATCACAGTGTGATGTTACCTGGGGGCTCTAGTAATAGATTACAGTGTGATGTTACCTGGGGGCTCTAGTAATAGATTACAGTGTGATGTTACCTGGGGGCTCTAGTAATAGATTACAGTGTGATGTTACCTGGGGGCTCTAGTAATAGATTACAGTGTGATGTTACCTGGGGGCTCTGGTAATAGATCACAGTGTGATGTTACCTGGGGGCTCTAGTAATAGATCACAGTGTGATGTTACCTGGGGGCTCTAGTAATAGATTACAGTGTGATGTTACCTGGGGGCTTTAGTAATAGATTACAGTGTGATGTTACCTGGGGGCTCTAGTAATAGATTACAGTGTGATGTTACCCGGGGGCTCTAGTAATAGATTACAGTATGATGTTACCCGGGGGCTCTAGTAATAGATTACAGTGTGATGTTACCTGGGGGCTCTAGTAATAGATTACAGTGTGATGTTACCTGGGGGCTCTAGTAATAGATTACAGTGTGATGTTACCTGGGGGCTCTAGTAATAGATTACAGTGTGATGTTACCTGGGGGCTCTAGTAATAGATTACAGTGTGATGTTACCTGGGGGCTCTAGTAATAGATTACAGTGTGATGTTACCTGGGGGCTCTAGTAATAGATCACAGTATGATGTTACCTGGGGGCTCTGGTAATAGATTACAGTGTGATGTTACCTGGGGGCTCTAGTAATAGATCACAGTATGATGTTACCTGGGGGCTCTAGTAATAGATTACAGTGTGATGTTACCTGGGGGCTCTAGTAATAGATCACAGTGTGATGTTACCTGGGGGCTCTAGTAATAGATTACATTGTGATGTTACCTGGGGGCTCTGGTAATAGATTACATTGTGATGTTACCTGGGGGCTCTAGTAATAGATTACATTGTGATGTTACCTGGGGGCTCTGGTAATAGATTACAGTCTGATGTTACCTGGGGGCTCTAGTAATAGATTACATTGTGATGTTACCTGGGGGCTCTAGTAATAGATTACAGTGTGATGTTACCTGGGGGCTCTGGTAATAGATCACAGTGTGATGTTACCTGGGGGCTCTAGTAATAGATTACAGTGTGATGTTACCTGGGGGCTCTGGTAATAGATTACAGTGTGATGTTACCTGGGGGCTCTAGTAATAGATTACAGTGTGATGTTACCTGGGGGCTCTAGTAATAGATTACAGTGTGATGTTACCTGGCAGGAGAGGCCCAGGTACCCGGGGGGACAGAGGCACTGCTCCACCCCCAGGCTCTGCTCCAGGCCGCTGTAATTGGGCACGGAGACGTCCATGCTGAGCTCTGATAGGCTGGAGGAGATCATCTCGCTGGAGAACGTCGCCCGGATCAAAATATCATCCAGATCAGCCAGAACCATCAGGAGGTGCTCCCGGGTCGCCGGCATCCCATCGGGGCGCCGCCAGTTATCCTGGGGGGGAGGGGGGGAGGAAGGGGGGAAGGGGGGTGTTATGATCACATTAATGATCAGATATCGCAGTTTATCTAGAGGTCACCTATTATGCAAAATCCACTTCTTCATGTCTCTTCTACATCAACATGTGTCCCCTCTTCTTCATGTCTCTTCTACATCAACACGTGTCCCCTCTTCCTCATGTCTCTTCTACATCAACATGTGTCCCCTCTTCCTCATGTCTCTTCTACATCAACATGTGTCCCCTCTTCTTCATGTCTCTTCTTCATCAACATGTGTCCCCTCTTCTTCATGTCTCTTCTACATCAACATGTGTCCCCTCTTCTTCATGTCTCTTCTTCATCAACATGTGTCCCCTCTTCCTCATGTCTCTTCTACATCAACATGTGTCCCCTCTTCCTCATGTCTCTTCTACATCAACATGTGTCCCCTCTTCCTCATGTCTCTTCTACATCAACATGTGTCCCCTCTTCTTCATGTCTCTTCTACATCAACATGTGTCCCCTCTTCTTCATGTCTCTTCTAACATCAACATGTGTCCCCTCTGTCTTCATGTCTCTTCTACATCGACATGTGTCCCCTCTTCTTCATGTCTCTTCTTCATCAACATGTGTCCCCTCTTCTTCATGTCTCTTCTACATCAACATGTGTCCCCTCTTCTTCATGTCTCTTCTACATCAACATGTGTCCCTCTTCTTCATGTCTCTTCTACATCAACATGTGTCCCTCTTCTTCATGTCTCTTCTACATCGACATGTGTCCCCTCTTCTTCATGTCTCTTCTTCATCAACATGTGTCCCCTCTTCTTCATGTCTCTTCTACATCGACATGTGTCCCCTCTTCTTCATGTCTCTTCTTCATCAACATGTGTCCCCTCTTCTTCATGTCTCTTCTACATCAACATGTGTCCCCTCTTCTTCATGTCTCTTCTACATCAACATGTGTCCCCTCTTCTTCATGTCTCTTCTTCATCAACATGTGTCCCCTCTTCTTCATGTCTCTTCTTACATCAACATGTGTCCCCTCTTCTTCATGTCTCTTCTACATCAACATGTGTCCCCTCTTCTTCATGTCTCTTCTACATCAACATGTGTCCCCTCTTCTTCATGTCTCTTCTTCATCAACATGTGTCCCTCTTCTTCAGTCTCTTCTACATAACATGTGTCCCCTCTCTTCATGTCTCTTCTACATCAACATGTGTCCCCCTCTTCTTCATGTCTCTTCTACATCAACATGTGTCCCCTCTTCTTCATGTCTCTTCTACATCAACATGTGTCCCCTCTTCTTCATGTCTCTTCTCATCAACATGTGTCCCCTCTTCTTCATGTCTCTCTTCTACATCAACATGTGTCCCCTCTTCTTCATGTCTCTTCTACATCAACATGTGTCCCCTCTTCTTCATGTCTCTTCTACATCAACATGTGTCCCCTCTTCTTCATGTCTCTTCTACATCAACATGTGTCCCCTCTGTGGAAAGAGACTCTGAAAGTCTCAGGAACAAAGATTCTCTCTCTTTTTGTCCTGATCCATTTCTATAAAAACCTGTCTGAAATGAGCTGATCAGATTTTGGCCACTGTATGATGTCATAACGATGTTTTGTCTTGTGTAACCATTAGCCAATCAGCAACCAAGGTAACCCCCCCCCACCTTATCACCTGAATCTCCTCCTAGAGCACCCTTGAGTTCTTTGTAACCAAATCTCTCTCAGAGGGGCGTGGGGAGGGGCTCCTTATTTTCATCTAAAGTAACAGACAGAGAATCAGCACTTTGGAAACAGGGCTGAAACAGAGGGTATTATGGGTAATGCTGCAATGATCTGTTTTGTGTTTCAGCCAATCAGAGACAGGCTCTGTTTATATCTGAGACCTGTGATATACTGATGAAGAAGAGGATGATAGGGGACCTTTAACCTGTTAAGCCCTGAGCCTGTTTTTCAGGTCTCAGGCTCGAAAATGCCATTCCCAGAACAAATGACCATATCTTCCCTTCTAAAAGGGTTAAATTAATAATCTTTTTTCTCAAAGTAATGATAAACCTGTGAGTTGGATGTAGAAAGGTCAGAATCAACATAGATGTTTTTTATTTTAAAGAAAATTCAGATTGAACATAGTAAAAAAACTGTAAATTATAGTGTCCATCCAAATATTATTTGTTACTTATAGTGAAAACTACCCTTGGATGATGGGTTAGTAGACTAAAAGCTTTAGGAATCCAAAGTACAACATATAATAAGTACCCTGTATCAAGATTGATGCAAAACAAGTGACATTTGACCTTTTTAGAGAGGTTTAGCAAAAAAACTCCACCTCTGAGGTGATTTGGGTGGAAATGGGGGTTTTACCGTTTCTTTGGAACCCATTGGTCGATTTTGGTGATTGACATCTCTTTATGACCGTTAGAGCCAATAGAATCGAAGGGGAATCTCCTCACTCACTTACATTGTACAACAAAAAGGTGGGGGCTTCGCGCATTCAGAATTGCATCAGAGCGAACCTATACTGTAGCTCTGACATCTGGAAACGGAAAAGCAGTTTTATTGCTCATGGATTATCAGAAATCATTTCAAAGGGACACAGACACATTGGATTAACCTATGGATTAACTTCAGCAGCCGTTTTTATCGTTTTAATGCCATTGAAGATCACTTTTGACCAGACTACGACACAGGTAAGCCATGTTAGCTTTTTTAGCTACCTAGCGCCACATGTTTTGATGTCTGTTTTTGTTTATAAAATCGCGATTTCGTATCATTGAGTGATAATGAGGGTACCCTTCGATTCTGTGTCACCTCACGATGTGAAACGATGTGTTGGATGTGCAGAAAAGATAAATAATAAGGTTTTGTGAGTGATTTTCGGTGCAGTAAGGTGTTAGCATTTTTCGCTCGTTGCTAATTCAGAGGCTCATTGTTAGCATTGTGGGGTTTTTTTTTTGAAAAAAAAAAATGATCCGTTAGATGAGTTTCTTCCCGTTACATGGATATAAAACATTCATAGTTTATTAAATGAACATGCCCTCAGACACTGTTTCCTGCAAGATGTTGCGGCAGTGCCCCGGTACCGGGGTCTCTCGGGCTTAACAGGTTAAAGAGAAACGGACAAAATACTAAACACAACTCTAAACTCTTAAACAAAAGATTCAAAGCCATACAGCGTATCTTGGGTACATTTTCTCATCGAGAAGTTAAAGGAGAGTCTCTTACCTCAGTGAAGGTGATCTCAAAGCGCTGCGTCTCTCGGCTCCCCCCCGCCCTCCGGGGCCACGGCTGCCGGGCCACCAGAGTGATGTCGTTTCCCTGCAGGAGGACAGGTCAGTGAACGCCTCATAGTAACAGTAACATCATATATCATCACAGTGGAGGTCAGTGAACGCCTCACTTTAAGATGACAGTAACATCACAGTGGAGGTCAGTGAACGCCTCACAGTGACAGTAACATCACGGTGGAGGTCAGTGAACGCCTCACAGTGACAGTAACATCACAGTGGAGGTCAGTGAACGCCTCACTTTAAGATGACAGTAACATCACAGTGGAGGTCAGTGAACGCCTCACAGTGACAGTAACATCACGGTGGAGGTCAGTGAACGCCTCACAGTGACAGTAACATCACAGTGGAGGTCAGTGAACGCCTCACTTTAAGATGACAGTAACATCACAATGGAGGTCAGTGAACGCCTCACAGTGACAGTAACATCACGGTGGAGGTCAGTGAACGCCTCACAGTGACAGTAACATCACAGTGGAGGTCAGTGAACGCCTCACTTTAAGATGACAGTAACATCACAGTGGAGGTCAGTGAACGCCTCACAGTGACAGTAACATCACGGTGGAGGTCAGTGAACGCCTCACAGTGACAGTAACATCACAGTGGAGGTCAGTGAACGCCTCACAGTGACAGTAACATCACGGTGGAGGTCAGTGAACGCCTCACAGTGACAGTAACATCACAGTGGAGGTCAGTGAACGCCTCACTTTAAGATGACAGTAACATCACAGTGGAGGTCAGTGAACGCCTCACAGTGACAGTAACATCACAGTGGAGGTCAGTGAACGCCTCACAGTGACAGTAACATCACAGTGGAGGTCAGTGAACGCCTCACTTTAAGATGACAGTAACATCATAGTAGAGGTCAGTGAACGCCTCACTTTAAGATGACAGTAACATCACAGTGGAGGTCAGTGAACGCCTCACATAAGATGACAGTAACATCACAGTGGAGGTCAGTGAACGCCTCACAGTGACAGTAACATCACAGTGGAGGTCAGTGAACGCCTCACAGTGACAGTAACATCACAGTGGAGGTCAGTGAACGCCTCACTTTAAGATGACAGTATACTCACAATAATCTGCACGTCTCCGTCGTCGATCAGCGTTCCTCGGGCTCCGGCCACGTAGGAGACGGTGAATTTCAGCTTCCCTCCGTACGAGCCCACCTGAGACCAAGAGAGAGACTTTAGATCTGAGGACAGGACACTGGAGGACGATTAAACACCAACGAAGAAGAGATTAATCCTCCTCAGAGCAACACACAGGGGGGGGGGGTTACAGCTGTCATTAAAGGTGAGTAATAACTGTCAAATATCACCATGAAATCCCCCCTCTTCTAGTCTGAATGAGACATTTTATGGAAGATATATTACCGTTCAATAGAAAACAATATGATGTTTGAAGGATTTCACTTTGTTTGGAGCTTCCTAACCTCTGCTGCTTTATTTAGATTATATATATAGATATATTTCAGTTTTATGAACTGTCCAAACACAGGTAGGTCAGTGTTTCTCTAAAACTAAGAGGACGTCCTCAACAGTCTCCAAGATACTCAGTTTCAGATAGAGATGTCCCGATCCGATCACGTGATTGGGGATCAGAGCTGATCACGTGATTTTCAAAAGATCGGAATCGGGAGAAAAAAATCGGGGATCGGGAATAATTTTTTTTTTTTTTATAAAATATTTTTATTATTTTATTGAATGTTACAAAACAAAAATGACCATGTTCACGTCTTAAAGTCATCCTGAGGCCTTAGTTTTGGTTTAAAATTACACAACATCATGTATGTGTTGCTTCTTTTGGGCTTGTTTTCATAGACCTGGCAACAGAGTGGGCGCAGTGTCTAATAGTAGCAGTAAGCTAACGAGAGGCTACGTTCAGCTGGTGTAACGAGAGGCTACGTTCAGCTGGTGTAACAAGAGGCTACGTTCAGCTGGTGTAACGAGAGGCTACGTTCAGCTGGTGTAACGAGAGGCTACGTTCAGCTGGTGACTCGGGAGTCGGGACAGAGAAAATGTCAGGAGTTTGGAAGTATTATAAAATTGAAAGCGAAGGCAGTGTAACAGCCAGATGCAATGTTTGCAAGGCGGAGGTTCCGCGTGGTGGAAAGAACAGAGCTACGTTCAACACGACCAATCTAATACGAACACCAACAACAACACGAGGAGTACACAGCGGCCACTCAGGTAACGGCACTGAAACAACCGACACTTTCAGAGACTTTTAAAAGGAAAGAGAAACTGCCCCAGAACAGTGAAAAGGCCAAAAAAATAACAGCCAAGATAGCTGAATTCATCGCGTTGGATGACCAGCCGTTATCTGTGGTGGAGAACGTGAGGTTTAAGGGACAACTTGAATGCTTTTCTCCTTTTTTTTCTCTTAATGCATTGCATAAAGATCGGATCGGGAAAAATCGGTATCGGCAGATTGTCAAAATCAAATGATCGGAATCGGATCGGGAGCAAAAAAAGGTGATCGGGACATCCCTAGTTTCAGAGTCATAGAGGAAGCTGGAATAAGATAACTTTGGATTGTTTTAACTTGAACTCAACGAAGAAGTTGCTAATGAATTTAATTATTGACAACTAATGCATCATTGCTGCAGCTTCAGTTCAAAACAATGAACTTACTCCTGTCTCGTTAACGTGGGACAAGCCTCTCTTTGTGCAGAGGACGAGTGTCACACAGAAAGGGGACCATGTTTCAGGTAATGGGGAATAAGGACATGTGAGGAAGAGGAGGATGGTGAGGATGATGAAGATGACTCTCTGCTGCTGGGGTCTATGTCTGAGTTACCTTCTCCCCGGTGTAAAGCTCCGGGAGCTTCCAGAAGAGAGGATCATCCTGAGAACTGAAACCACTGAAGACCAGAGACCACTGAGGAAGAGGAGGAGGAGGAGCAGGAGGAGGAGAACGAGGATGAAGAGGAAGAGGTAGCAAGAATAAATGGGTGAAAAGAGGAGAGAGTAAAGCCCGACACACACAGAGATCACATAAGGGAGTGAGTCACACTGAGTCACTCTGAGTCACTCTGAGTCCCTCTGAGTCACTCTGAGGGGAGGAACCCCTCTGAGTCACTCTGAGGGGAGGAACCCCCCAGGGCTTTAATATATCCAATCTTTGGTAAATATCAAACATAAAGTATTCCTGCAGTTCAAAGCATGTGTTATCGACTTTTCAAGTGTTTTGTTATGTTACTAATCATTTTTGAGAATGTACAATACAGAGCTATATTTCAACAACCCTACAAACCATCTTATCAATTGTTTGACTTTTGAAAGATTGACTTCAGACAATTAAACACCAATTAAGACTATGTTCAGAGCTCGTTAAGACTTGTTAAAGAGTCTGCATTCATCAGCACTCTGCTCTCTCGGTGAACATTAACCTCGCTGCACACACTGAGATCAGCTGGTTGTTCATTCACTTTGCAAGCTTGACTATCAGAGACTGAATATGTCTAGAGCTGCAGCATTAATCAACATGTTATGGAAACTGCAACGTGCTCAATGTGTGTCAAATATATGAGAGAAGTAGAGCTGCAGAGATACAACAGATCCTCCTGAAGAAATCACACCATGCTCATCTCAAAACAATAATGATAACTATGATTCTTCAAATGCTCAATCCCAGCTGTATCATCACACCACGAGTGCACCATCAGTCAGAATCATCACACTCATGCCCCTCTCTCTACCTTCTGGCCGTCTGCAGAGCCTCTGGTCGGCCTCACTGAGCTCTTCCTCTGTCAACGAACACAACACGTTACTGGACAGGAAGTCTCCTACAGCTGATCAAAGGTCACCTATTATACAAAATCCACTTCTTCATGTCTCTTCTACATCAACATGTGTCCCCTCTTCTTCATGTCTCTTCTTCATCAACATGTGTCCCCTCTTCTTCATGTCTCTTCTTCATCAACATGTGTCCCCTCTTCTTCATGTCTCTTCTACATCTGTCTCTTCTACATCAACATGTGTCCCCTCTTCTTCATGTCTCTTCTACATCAACATGTGTCCCCTCTTCTTCATGTCTCTTCTACATCAACATGTGTCCCCTCTTCTTCATGTCTCTTCTACATCAACACGTGTCCCCTCTTCTTCATGTCTCTTCTACATCAACATGTGTCCCCTCTTCTTCATGTCTCTTCTACATCAACATGTGTCCCTCTTCTTCATGTCTCTTCTACATCAACATGTGTCCCCTCTTCTTCAGGTCTCTTCTACATCAACATGTGTCCCCCTCTTCTTCATGTCTCTTCTACATCAACATGTGTCCCCTCTTCTTCATGTCTCTTCTACATAACATGTGGTCCCCTCTTCTCATGTCTCTTCTACATCTGTCTCTTCTACATCAACATGTGTCCCCTCTTCTTCATGTCTCTTCTACATCAACATGTGTCCCTCTTCTTCATGTCTCTTCTACATCTGTCTCTTCTACATCAACATGTGTCCCCTCTTCTTCATGTCTCTTCTACATCAACATGTGTCCCCTCTTCTTCATGTCTCTTCTACATCTGTCTCTTCTACATCAACATGTGTCCCCTCTGTGTAAAGAGACTCTCTCTTTACACAGAGGGGACACATGTCTCCTCCTAGAGCACCATTGAGTTCTTTGTAACCAAATGTCTCTCAGAGGGGCGTGGGGAGGGGCTCCTTATTTTCATCTAAAGTAACAGACTTTGGAAACAGGGCTGAAACAGAGGGGATTATGGGTAATGCTGCTATGATCTGTTTGGTGTTTCAGCCAATCAGAGACAGGCTCTGTATATATCTGAGACCTGTGATATATTGATGAAGAAGAGGATGATAGTGGATAGTATTTAGGGGTTTGTACTTAAGGATCTGGAGTTTAAAGATTCATTTTGTAATTATAGTGACTTTGGGGAGAAAGCATACGTGCAAAACAAATATTTGTACATATTTACAAAACACTACATTCAATTTAAAGACAAAATATTGACTGAAAAAGAAAGTTTGAAGCTTCAGTTTGTCCCCTAAGGGCCACCATACTCACTAAAGTGAGGCCTTTAGAAACCTCCACTGATCCTCAGCTGATATACAATGATTACGACCAAACCATGTGCTTCAACCACATATATCTGAGTGTACCTGCAGGTGAGGGGGGGGCTGCGCTCTGGTGGGTCTGACTGAAGAGGAGGAGGAGGGAGGAGGAAGAGGAGGAGGGCTCAGGTGACGTAAAGACCACCGGGAGGAAGAGGAGGAGGAGGAGGAAGAAGAGGATGTTTTGGAGGGGGGGAAGAACGGAGGGGGGGCCGCTCCTTTGCTGGAGAAGTTAAAGAGAGCCCACACCTCCTCGTCCAGCTTTCTGACTGCTCCCTGAGAGGAGGGGGGGGGGGCGTAGAGATATTAGACCAGGAGACAGAAACAGTGACGAAGACGAGTTCAGTTCCTCCTCATCACTCCAGCTTAGAGGCAGAGCAACAATGAGTTATCAGAGGAGAGGTACAGACTGCGTACTTTAGATGGATTACGATACAGCATGTTTTCTGTTCATTCAAAAAATAAAAACTCTTAAATAAATATCCTATTGTAACGTATGGTATCAATATGTATCCGATCGCATTGTTTCCTCATAGTATCGGAACATACCGTAGCATATTGTAACTTATCGTATTGTATTGTGTTGTATCGAAACATATCATAACATGTCGTAATGTATCGTGTATTCTAATGTATTGTAACGTATTCTAATGTATTGTAATGTATTGTAATGTATTGTAATGTATTGTAACATATTGTAACGTATTGTAACGTATTGTAACGTATTGTAATGTATTGTAACGTATTGTATGTACATTTCCCCTCTGTGGGACGAATAAAGGTATTCTGATCGTAATGTATTTTATCGTAACATATACTTATCGTAATGTATCGTAATGTATTCTAACATATTGTAGCGTATAATATCGAAATGTATCATACTTTATCGTGTTATGTCGTAACGAATTGTATTGTGTTGTATCGTTACAAGTCCCACTGCAATGTATCGTATCATATGGTACTGTAACGTGTCACAGATACATCTTAATATTCTAGGCTCTGACAGCTGTCACCATGGTGATTGCGTCAGCTTCACGTTGGGTGTGATCACAGAATGAGGAACATGCTGAGTCATGCTCACCACGCTCACCACGCTCACCATGCTGAGTCATGCTCACCATGCTGAGTCATGCTCACCATGCTGAGTCATGCTCACCATGCTGAGTCATGCTCACCATGCTCACCACGCTCACCATGCTCACCACGCTCACCATGCTCACCATGCTGAGTCATGCTCACCATGCTCACCACGCTCACCATGCTCACCACGCTCACCACGCTCACCATGCTCACCATGCTGAGTCATGCTCACCATGCTCACCACGCTCACCATGCTCACCACGCTCACCACGCTCACCATGCTGAGTCATGCTCACCATGCTCACCACGCTCACCACGCTCACCACGCTCACCACGCTCACCACGCTCTCCACGCTCACCACGCTCACCACGCTCTCCACGCTCACCACGCTCACCACGCTCACCACGCTCACCACGCTCTCCACGCTCACCACGCTCACCACGCTCACCACGCTCACCACGCTCACCACGCTCTCCACGCTCACCACGCTCACCACGCTCACCACGCTCACCACGCTCTCCACGCTCTCCACGCTCACCACGCTCACCACGCTCACCACGCTCACCACGCTCGCTCACCACGCTCACCACGCTCACCATGCTCACAACACAAACATTCCTGATGTCTCTCTTTCTCTCTCTCTCCTTCTCAACGTGCTCTCAACGTGCTCAGAGACTCTGAATCACACCAAGCTGAATCTCCATGCTCCTACACCTCAGATATTTAAAAGGTTTCATCTTATATCGTCTTTGAGATCTAGGAAAAGCGCTAAACAAATCGAATGTATTATATTATGAATTTAACAGTTTCAATAACAACCTTTTTACGTTGGTCCACAAACTCTCCCCCTGTTAGCTCTCAGTGAGTCTCGTTAGACGTGTGAGTGTTACAATGTGCACGTCTACAGGATGAATCAGACACCTGAGCATAAAGAGATGTTCCTTATCCTTTTTGAGATTTGACAATCCAAACAAATACTTATGCAATCCTACATACTATCTTTGCAATGATATGCCTTTTGAAAGATTGATTTCAGACATTTAAGACCATTTGTAGGCCTCGTTAAGACGTTAGAAAGAGTCTCCAGGAGTCCGTCTGTATCCATCAGAACTCTAACGGTTTGCTGCTTTAATGATTCTCTGCAGTAAACAGTGCGATCAGCTGGTTGTTAACCAGACAGGACGGATAGAGCAGATACCTGAGCAGCTCTACTGGATCTAGCTCTACGCTGAGCCCCCCCCCCCCCTCTCTCTGATGAGTCTCATTGAGGTCTCTCTTTGATCCCCTTCCCTATCACTGGGCTCTCGGTATTCGGCCGTGTTGTTGGAGCAGCGTTAAACGGTATGAAGTTATTAAACGGAGCATTAATGATGGATCTGTGCACATGGCTGCTGTGAGGCCAGGCAGAAAGAAATGTGAGCGGCCGTGAGATCAAAACACACTTAGAGCTGCAGCTGAAATAAGAAGGGCTATTCAGATAAATCAGATCTAGTAACTAGCAGGAGAACTCATTCTGAACTACATTTGACCAGGATCAGCTTATTGTGAGTGTTCTTCTATCGCCATTCACCACAACAACCTATCTCCTCCCCTCCCTAGCATGCACCATGTTCTTAGTGCGATGCAGGACGTTCAGTCTGTTGCACAACAACAACAACAACAACAGGAGGAATCACTACCATGCAAACAGCTCCAAACAGACACTAAAGTGCATCAGGACGGACTGTACCTGCTCCGCTCGTTTGCTGCGAGCAGAGGAAGACTCCTCCTGCAGGGAGAACCAGTCGAACACAGAGAAACAGAGGGATGAGTTACGGATGTGTTGGCGCTGTTTGTCCATAAAGGCTTGCCGTAGTTTCTTTAGCACTAGAGGAAGTTCATAGAGCTCACTATTATTCCTGAACCCTGACGCACACATACCTGCAACAGTTATTGGAAACAGCTGTTAAATATGTGTGCTAATACATCATGTTGATGCTAATTGTGTTAACTTGGCACTTCCAATGTTATGTTAGCATTCATGCTAATCGTCAGTCAGCTGTGTGTAATGCATCTCATGTTTTCCCGTATCCATGTTGTGTTCATTGATTAATGATGATGAGACAACAGAAGTACATGTGTGCTTTGTTCAGATTGACTGTAAAGACTCTCAGATAAACATCCTAAAGGTAGCTGCTGTCTCCTCGGTCATTATCTATCTGCAAGTTACATTCCAGTGAGGGCGGAATAATGAAAGTGAACTCTCGGGTCATTAAGTCTTTCATGGCTTTTTCCCCCGAGTGAAGAGGATGAGAGGAAGAGAAGCTGCTGAAGCTTGAGAAGACAGATTAGAGCAGAGGAAGGAGGAAGTAGAGAGTGGTCTGCAGGTCACTGAGTGTTGGGGAAATATTCCTATATTCTGGGCTAGAGATCTTCCGGCCGAAGCTCCAAATAAACCCTCAGTGTTTCCATCAAAGCTCCTGCTCTCCTCGTGTCTCTCTGAGTCTCCATTGATGCAGACGTTCCCCTCACAGTGGGGGGGGGGTCACTGGTTTCTCAGGGACTCACCTTGTCCCCCTGGTAGGCGTCGGGCAGCTGCCAGTAGTGCGGCTCCTGGCCCAGGTAGTCGAAGCTGGTGTAGGACAGCTGCGTGCCCTCGGTGGAAACCTCCACGGTGAAGCCGCTGGAGATTCGGTTGGTGCGCTGACGGTTCACCAGAGCGAAGCCCTGGAAGTTCCCTGGAGTAAAGACGGTGGAAACCTGCAGGAGAACACAGAGGGAGACACAGGAGTTTGTGATTCATTCACAGCAGCATTTATTATTCTAATCGGACGTTTGGTTCACAAAGTTATCTGAATGGCGTCTGCCTGATGAGACTCAAACCCAGTCCTCCTTTACCCTAAGTTATATATATATATATATATATTTGAATAGTTGTGGGCTGATTGTGGTGCTAGAAAGATGATGGATCAACTCTGATAAACATTGTGGATTCCTAGCCATCTATCTCAAGACAGGCTGTGAAGTGGTGCCTTTTCTCTATTGCCACATTTTCTTAACCCATAAAGATTGTATTTGATTTGCTTGTGTGAAGTGTTTTCGTGACCTGATAGGCACTTTCTTAAACATCAAATTCAAAGACCTTTAAAGGGTATTCATAGGCCCTATTGTATTGAATGTAAAGCCCGAACATGGCGCACTTTGAGACATCGATCAAGGGTCATTTTTGTCGCACTTTCTTAAGGCAGGAAACAATGCCTTCAAGGATTCAAGTCCCCACGTAACCCATGCATTTGCACTGAAGGAACTCTGAATATCATCATTGACATCAGTCCATCTCTGGAGGATGCGCTCACTGGTTTGGATGCATTTGAAGCTGCATCATGTATTCGCTCAGAAATGAACGTGTGACGCTCTTGCAAATATGATCTTAGCTGCACCAGTTATTTATCTAGTGCCTTCTCATTGAGTCAGTACCAGGTCTCTGTAGGAACACTCTGTTACAGTAGAAGCCCTACAGAGATACTAGATCAAGCCTGAAGGAGAAGTACCAGGTCTCTGTAGGAACACTCTGTTACAGTAGAAGCCCTACAGAGATACTAGATCAAGCCTGAAGGAGAAGTACCAGGTCTCGGTAGTGGGTGGAGCTGGAGCACTGCTGAGTCACGCCCATGCAGAAACAGGACAGGCAGCCATCTTTGTTTTCAGGGCTGAGGTGGAAGGTTCCAGGTCTGCAGGTGGAGCAGGACGGGCCCTCAACGTTCGTCTGAACACAAGACATAACACACGTGTGAATACATCTGACATAGAATAGAATAGAACCCTTTATTCTCATGATACAGATGAGAACACATACACACAACAAGCATTCAGACTTCAATATGCAGATGAAGTTAAGTACAAATAAATATATTTGAATGTGTATAAAAAAATATATATATATTTATTGTGTGTCGGAGTTTAGTGCTCTGGGGAAGAAACTGTCTTTAAGTCTGATTGTCTTTGCTTTGAGACAGCTGTATATACTGTATGTTCATTTGAATGTATTTCTTATTTGAAAAGTGACTTAACTATATATCATTTAAATGTTATCTTTAATTGTATTCATCTTTAATCTCACCCTGTTGCTGTTAAACTACTGAATTTGCCCACGGGATAAATAAAGGTCCATCTCATCTCATCTAATCTTAAGAAATAAAACCCCCAGTCCATCACAGTCTGCATCAGAAGATACATGTGTGCTTTTATTCATGTTTTAATGTGTGCATATGTATACATGTGTCTGTTGATATGGTATATACATATTTTTATATATATTTGTATTTTTGTATTCTGGATTGTGGGAAACAGCATGTCTGTCTGTCTGTCCACACAAACTGAAACTAGTGGTGTTGGCTCACCTTGCAGTGGCACACGCCTCCAGTACAGCTCTCTCTTCCTCTCTGGTCACAGTCATAGCAGTTACCTGCAACAGGAAGCAGAACGTCACCAACTCTCGCCTCCTTAAAGAAAACTAGGTGACACATTATATTAAGGTACACAAATGAACCATCAACTAGTTGTTCATTAACATGCATATTAGCAGTATATTGGCTCATTATCAGTCATTATAAAACACTTATTAATGCCTTATTCTACGTGACCATATTCTACAAGTAATAAGCCATTAGTTGAGTTTTTCCTCAATACCCCTCTAACTGGTGCTGATTCATTGCAAGTAAGGAAGTTGTTGAACATGAGTTCTGGTCTCAATATGCTCTGCTCAATATGGGCCGAATAAGGCAGTAGTACCACAAGAATAGTAATTCTCTCATAATAACACTTAAAGTGGACCTATCATGCTATATGTAAATGATATATTGTAGGGCCATACCTATATAAGGTATATTTATACGTTTCTGTTTTCAAAATACCAAACAGATCATGCATTTTAGCCATGCCTCATTTCGCTCTATGTGCTGTTTGCTGTCTAGGGGTCTGATTCTGCTGACCACGCCCCCCTGCAGGAGAGGGGAGACGTGCTCTGATCAGCTGCTGGGCTGTCAGAAGAGGGGGAGAAAAAGAGATCTCCGTCCTCCGTGTTTTATTATATAGAGTCGTTATTCATTTGTTTTAAAGCTCAATAAATAACAAAGAAGACCTTTGACCGGCACTTTTCTAATTTTGTCCGGAAGATTTAAACTTTAACGGACATCTTGACCGGCGAAAGAAACTGTAACTGAAACTCTGCTGCACGGTCCCCTCGTTCCTTGGAAGAGGCGGAGAGGTGGGTGTTTGTCATCTGCTGGTGGACTAACCGGAGAGAATTACAGTGCTTGCCTCGACGGGGAGGGATTGCATTGAATTAAAGCAGCGGGAGCAAACGCTTGCCTCGGGGAGGGAGAAAGAAAGCCACAGCGGAGAATAAACAGAAGGGTAACCATGGTAACTATGGGCGGGAAGTCTTCTTCGCTGCTTTTGTGGCAGACTACAGCGCCACTTACAGGCCTGGCATATGTACTACAGCGTCTCCAGCGCTTTCGAGCGGCAATGGCCGGCCGTGGCCCAACCCCACATTCCCTTGATAGGTGGAGAGTTGGCCCAATAGCCGTAGCGCCACCGTCCTGACGTCAGGACAGTGTTCAAATCTGGATCAGTTTTTATCAGATCCGTTGCAGCCCCTTTTTTAGAGATTTGGGTATGGAGGAAAATAGAGAGGGTTGTGTTTTCTGACACTTGGTGAGTTCCCTGGAACACCGGGGACACATATTCATGTATACAAGACGTACACAAGTGCATTTTGCATGATAGGTGCCCTTTAACAAATATATTCTTATATAACAAGACATGAAACTATAAGTGTTAATTGTGTCTAAATAACTCAAAATGAGGTTTTTCTATCTAAGAACATGTTCCCTATTTGAAAGTGAAGTCTTGTTCATAACCAATAAGCTAGTAGTTTGACTCTAATATGTGAATGAACAACTCGTTGATGGTGAATATGTGTACCTTAATCTAAAGTGTTACCGAAAACGAATATTAAAATGTTCCTGAAACAGTTTGTACCGTTGACTTCGTTGTTGCCAACGGTGCATCTCTGTCCCAGCGGGGGGTTGCCGTTGTATCCGGCAGCACATCTGAAAATAAAAACAAGACATCGTGCATGAGCAAATATTTCCGGTTAAAGAGGATACACGTTTTTAACAATGAGGCAGGAAGCTGGGGAGTCTGCAGGACGTCAAACACTTGTCCTTTGGGCGGTTATCTTCAACCAAGAACAAAGGACTGAGTCATTCAGACAAATAACATCCAAGCTTTGAAACGATTCCATCCTGTCAGAGCTCTTATCGTCTCATGGTCTCACCCAGTCTCACGGTCACACCCAGTCTCACGGTCAGTCTCACGGTCAGTCTCACGGTCACACCCAGTCTCACGGTCACACCCAGTCTCACGGTCACACCCAGTCTCACGGTCACACCCAGTCTCACGGTCACACCCAGTCTCACGGTCACACCGAGTCTCACGGTCACACCCAGTCTCACGGTCAGTCTCATGGTCTCACCCAGTCTCACGGTCACACCCAGTCTCACGGTCACACCCAGTCTCACGGTCACACCCAGTCTCACGGTCACACCGAGTCTCACGGTCACACCCAGTCTCACGGTCAGTCTCATGGTCTCACCCAGTCTCACGGTCTCACCCAGTCTCACGGTCACACCGAGTCTCACGGTCACACCCAGTCTCAAGGTCACAGCCAGTCTCACGGTCACACCCAGTCTCACGGTCTCACCCAGTCTCATGGTCTCACCCAGTCTCACGGTCTCACCCAGTCTCACGGTCACACCGAGTCTCACGGTCACACCCAGTCTCAAGGTCACACCCAGTCTCACGGTCACACCCAGTCTCACGGTCACACCCAGTCTCATGGTCACACCCAGTCTCATGGTCACACCCAGTCTCACCCAGTCTCATGGTCACACCCAGTCTCATGGTCACACCCAGTCTCATGGTCACACCCAGTCTCACCCAGTCTCATGGTCACACCCAGTCTCACGGTCACACCCAGTCTCATGGTCACACCCAGTCTCACCCAGTCTCATGGTCACACCCAGTCTCATGGTCACACCCAGTCTCATGGTCACACCCAGTCTCAAGGTCACACCCAGTCTCATGGTCACACCCAGTCTCACCCAGTCTCATGGTCACACCCAGTCTCATGGTCCACCCCAGTCTCACGGTCACACCCAGTCTCATGGTCACACCCAGTCTCACCCAGTCTCATGGTCACACCCAGTCTCACGGTCACACCCAGTCTCATGGTCACACCCAGTCTCATGGTCACACCCAGTCTCACCCAGTCTCATGGTCACACCCAGTCTCATGGTCACACCCAGTCTCATGGTCACACCCAGTCTCACCCAGTCTCATGGTCACACCCAGTCTCACGGTCACACCCAGTCTCATGGTCACACCCAGTCTCACCCAGTCTCATGGTCACACCCAGTCTCATGGTCACACCCAGTCTCATGGTCACACCCAGTCTCATGGTCACACCCAGTCTCACCCAGTCTCATGGTCACACCCAGTCTCATGGTCACACCCAGTCTCACGGTCACACCCAGTCTCATGGTCACACCCAGTCTCACCCAGTCTCATGGTCACACCCAGTCTCATGGTCACACCCAGTCTCATGGTCACACCCAGTCTCATGGTCACACCCAGTCTCACCCAGTCTCATGGTCACACCCAGTCTCACGGTCACACCCAGTCTCACGGTCACACCCAGTCTCACGGTCATGGTCACACCCAGTCTCATGGTCACACCCAGTCTCATGGTCACACCCAGTCTCATGGTCACACCCAGTCTCACGGTCACACCCAGTCTCACCCAGTCTCATGGTCACACCCAGTCTCATGGTCACACCCAGTCTCACGGTCACACCCAGTCTCACGGTCACAACCAGTCTCACCCAGTCTCATGGTCACACCCAGTCTCACGGTCACACCCAGTCTCACGGTCACAACCAGTCTCACGGACACACCCAGTCTCACGGTCACACCCAGTCTCACAGTCACACCCAGTCTCACGGTCACACCCAGTCTCACGGTCACACCCAGTCTCACGGTCACAGCCAGTCTCATGGTCACCAGTCTCATGGTCACACCCAGTCTCACGGTCACAGCCAGTCTCACGGTCACACCCAGTATCACGGTCACACCCAGTCTCACGGTCACACCCAGTCTCACGGTCACACCCAGTCTCAGTCTCACGGTCACACCCAGTCTCACGGTCATGGTCACACCCAGTCTCATGGTCACACCCAGTCTCACGGTCACACCCAGTCTCACGGTCTCATGGTCACACCCAGTCTCACGGTCACACCCAGTCTCACGGTCACACCCAGTCTCACGGTCTCACGGTCACACCCGGTCACACCCAGTCTCACGGTCACACCCAGTCTCACGGTCACACCCAGTCTCACGGTCACACCCAGTCTCACGGTCACACCCAGTCTCACGGTCACACCCAGTCTCACGGTCACACCCAGTCTCCAGTCTCACGGTCACACCCAGTCTCACGGTCACAACCAGTCTCACGGCCACACCCAGTCTCACGGTCACACCCAGTCTCACGGTCACACCCAGTCACATCCAGTCTCACGGTCACACCCCAGTCTCACGGTCACACCCAGTCTCACGGTCACACCCAGTCTCACGGTCACACCCAGTCTCATGGTCACACCCAGTCTCATGGTCACACCCAGTCTCATGGTCACACCCAGTCTCATGGTCACACCCAGTCTCACGGCATTTCGTGTTATAGTCACGAAATGTAATCTATTGATTCGTGTTCACCAACAAGATTTTCCCATTTTTTTCGTGTCAAACAGAACGATTTAAAAAGCAATGTATTTATATTGGTAGTGTGTTTCGTGCCTGCGCCAAATAATAACAAATTAGAAGAAAAATAAGATAAAGAAAATACAGATGTCAGTATCCTGAGGCTCTGAGCCATTTCTTTTCCTCACGGACGGCAAATAATGTCCGACATTATGTCATTTAAAATAAAAACAATAATCATGTCTTGATATTGAGTAAGAAAATGTTTTTATGAACCACACAACTTCCGGTCTTCCTAGACCCGACCGGACAAAAATACGTGGTGCAGGCACGAAACACACTACCAATAGAAATACGTTGAAAAAAATGGAAAATCATGTTGGTGAACACGAATCAATAGATTACATTTATTTCGTGACTATAACACGAAATGCCGTGAGACTGGGTTGGCATGGTTACACCCAGGTTACAAACAGCTTTCCCAGAAATAGCACCCTTTGCCTGGAGATGGATGAAGCACAGCCGCTGCTAAAACCCTCAACATGCCTCAGATGTTGATCCCATCTCTTATATCAGTCTGATATACTGAGCAGCACCTTTACACAGCAACAGAAATATCACCACTTCTTAACTCAAACATTGAACTGATATCAGAAGGAAGGACAGAGGAGGGAAATAAAGAGCCGTCGAAGAACACGCTGAGCTGCTAACGATAAAGTTCCTGATATGGCGACAAAGCAAAGCAAGCAAACTACACACTGCCACCAGAGCGATGCTTCTCCACGCCCGGTCTTACCTCACCTGTCCTCTGGGGGGCGCCGCGCGTCAACAGGACAGCCATGATATGAGCTTTAGGGATCCCTAACTAAACTAACTCCTAAACAGTTTCTATGGATCGGTTAACCTTACAGAGAGTGTGGTTTATAGAGATAAGGAAACATCTTATTACAAAGGGAAATGGAAAATACAACAAAATAGATATGGTCTTGAAGACAAAAACAACTGTTCATACTAAGAAAGGACATACAGCTGATGATAAACATGGACACTAACAATCTGAAAAAACGATTTAAAGTCAGATAAAAAGATCTTGGAAACTGTGTCGATGCATTGATAACCTCTGCGCTGAGGATGTGACTGTTTCTCAGATCGATCAAATATTAGTCAAAGCGGTGGGAATATTAACAGTTTTGTTCCTGACAACTTATGGCGTAAAGATGAACCAGCATTGGGCAAACACAGCAGTTATAAAATAGAAACAGAGGATGATCCCTAATATTTCATCTCAAATGATGTCAAAATAATTAAAAAGCACTTTACATTCCAAAACCGATATAATGATATGCATTTCTAACATTACCCTCTATGCTGATGATGTGACTGTTTAGATCAAACGTTGGTCAGGGGGCGGGGGGGAAATATTAACATGGTCAGCATTTAATGATTGGTCCAGAACACTGCTGCCCATATTGCCAAAAAACGGATTATTCATGGTCCCCAGAAGATCAATCAATCCATTTTAGATGTGCCTTTTCTTCTAGCGCCACCAAGGTATGGATTCTTATAATGGATACCATATTAGTTTAGCATAAAAGGAAAGTATTGGACATGAATGAATCCTCTGGGGACCATAAATGTAAATATCTTCCAATGGTTGCATTGATTTAGTATTGCAGCAAGTTGCGGGATGTTAAATCGTTCATTTTGGTTTGGAAATATAACCTTTAACCTCTTAAGCCCTGAGCCTGTTTTTCAGGTCTCAGGATCGAAAATGCCATTCCCAGAACAAATGACCATATCTTCCCTTCTAAAAGGGTTAAATTAATAATCTTTTTTCTCAAAGTAATGATAAACCTGTGAGTTGGATGTAGAAAAGTCAGAATCAATATAGATGTTTTTTATTTTAAAGAAAATTCAGATTTTACATAGTAAAAAACTGTAAATTATAGTGTCCGTCCAAAAATAATGTTTTACTTATAGTGAAAACTACCCTTGGATGATGGGTTAGTAGACTAAAAGCTTTAGGAATCCAAAGTACAACATATAATAAGTACCCTGTATCAAGATTGATGCAAAACAAGTGAAATTTGACCTTTTTAGAGAGGTTTAGCCAAAAACCCCCACTTCTGGGGTCATTTGGGTGGATTTGACCTATCTCTGGCCCCCCTTGCTCGATTTTGATGAATGAAATCTCTTTATAACCGCTAGAGCCAATGGAATCTCTTTATAACCGCTAGAGCCAATGGAATCGAGGGAAAGTTATATACACACCAAAACGTTAACAAATAAGGAGTGAGAGTGACGCGTTACCAAAACCGGAAGCTGCATACACTCTGGTGGCTACCATTAGCAGCTAACTTTTCCGCTCCGATTTTTACATAAAAAATGGAATTATGGATTATAAATAATTTTTTCAAAGGCACAGGTACATTATCAACCTATGGATCAACAGTTGTAGACATTTTATTTTTCGTTTTAATGCCATTGAACACGTCTTTTGACCTAATTGACAGCTACGGTGAGACGATCTGCCGTAAAAGCTCCGTAAAGGTACGTGTTGTGATGTCTGTGTTTGCTTCCCCTGTCGCAAGTTCGGATCGCTCAGTGATGAAACTATACCTAAATAATCAGTGGAGTCTCAGCTTTAATCTGCTATATTGTATGTGCAGCTACGATAAGTAATAAGGGTATCTTTATCTTGAATTGTGTGCCGCAGTGCGTTGGAATTTTTTCGCTCAGGGGTCATTTAGACCCTTCTTATGAGACTTGTGTTTTGTTTTGGTAAAAATGGTTCATATCTTCAGTTAGCTGAGATTCTTCCCGTTAATCTGGTGCTACACATTAATAGTTTCATAAATGTTAAGAAGCCCTGAGACATTATCTCGAAAACAAAAAGGTGGGAGGGGTCCAAGGGGGGACCGCCGTGCTTAAGAGGTTAAAGAATGTTCTTCTTAAACCTAGACTAACACAAATATTCAGTTCATATTGCGTACAGAAAAATGCAGAAAGAAACGTGTAAACCTTGAGGTAGTCTGGCCATAACACAACAGACAACGCATATCAAGCACTAATGCGAACAAGACAATCGGCGATCTCTTCACGGCAGGATTCTGGGAAACAGTTCATCATAAAAAACACCTCAAAATAAACAGGGTGGCATTAAATATCTTGAAAGCCCCTTTTCCAATAACATCAAGGATGCTTCCCTTCATTACGTTCAAAACACAAGGTTGCAGTACGATACATAAATATAAGGAGATATATACAAATGGAAGAGTATTCCTTAGTCATCGGGAATGATCCTGATGGGAATGGCCAGCCTTCCCAGGACAACATGGAGAGACCCGTCCTGGCTCCTCCCCTTCTTCCCTGACTTGTAATTTCCCTGTAAAAGTTGCAGGAGGTCCAAAAGCCCAGGGTGAGATTTAGTCTTCTTTTTCTTCTGCTCAGGTTTTTTAGTTACTCTCTTTGCAGTGGCAGCTTTGGCTTTAGGAGGAGCTGGTTTCCTTTTCACCGTGGTGTTGGACTTCTTCTTCCCAGGAGTAGTCTTGGTTTTAGAAGGAGTCGTCCTTTTCACCGTGGCGTTGGACTTCTTCTTCGTGGTGGTCGGTTTCGTGGTTGAGACCGTTTTTTTCCTGCTATTTTGAGAAACCAACTTGTAAGAATTGTCCTCCGTCTTTTCCCCACCTTTGTGTGACCTCTTTGACTCGCCCTCCGGACTCTTCCCACGTTCCTGAAGCTTCTTGGGAACCGGTGCATCGGATCTAAACGCCTTGTTGCGTCCGTTGCGTCTGACGGGGGGTGAATCCTTTCTTTTGGCCTGATCGGGCTTTGCTTTGTGAGACGGCGGCTCCAGTTGAAATTTAGTCATCGCTCCTTCAACTTGCTTTGGTTCTGCTTGGCTTGAGACTTGTTTAGCGGTCACAGCGGACCTCCTACGTGCAGTCAACTTTGTTTTAGGCTTCACTGTAGTTTTAGATTTAGATGCAGATTTTGAAGTAGTCCTAGGTTTACTCAGGGTAGTCCTTGTCGAGGCTTTACTTACTGATTTGAGTTTCCTCGCTCTCTGGCGTGCAGCATTTGGGTTGTCTGCAGGTAGTCCTGGGGTCGGTATGCTTTTCGGCACCGTGGCTCTACTGGTAAACGGTGTTTCTGTGGGTTTAACTCCATGCGTTGGGTACAGCGACAAAGGAAGGAGGGCAGCCAGTAAAGGCGGATCCCTCTTTTCCGGTATTGATCGGGAAACATGTCTAGCTCGTTTCATCCTGTTCATCTCCTGAGCCAGCGCCGTGAAGCCGTCGATCAAGATCTCCAGACGCCCCTCCAGTCGGCTCAGACGGGTGTCCATGTCCGTGTAGCCCTTCTCCAACTCGCCCACCTTCTTGTTCTTCTCCCCGACCGACTGGATGGCGATGAGCTCCTTCAGGTTGGAGCTGAGCTGCAGCTGCTGGTCCTCCATGCGGTGGATGCTGTCCTTCATGTCCAGCGTGTTGCTCTCCAGCATGCTCAGACGCTGGTTGAAGGTGTTCAGGTGCATCCTCAGAAGCTGCTGCAAGCTGGAGTGTCTGATCTCCGGACTGGGGGTGAAGCGAGTGGGGATCCTGGGGGATAATCTGTTGGGGGTAGCGACGGAGACATCGCCCACCCCGGTTGATTTAGTTTCACGAGTAGTGCGGTGGTGGATTGCAGCAGAAAATAAAGTCTGCGAAGGGAGGATGGTTGTTCCCGCGGTCTCATCATCATCTCCACTGCCGTACGGGAAGATCTGTTTCTCCCAGCTGAAGTTAAACACAGCTTCAGCTCCACATCCCACAGGCAGCAGGCCCTCTATCTGCTTCTCCAGGAGGGGGTCATCACAACTGTCTGCAGGCGGCTTCTCTTCTCTTAATGTCAAAACAGCACAGTCAGGTTTCAGACGTTCAAATCATTTCATAAGTTGCGTCTTACACCCCAAAAACACCTCGTCATCTTTGCCCTTTTGGAGCAGCAAAGATTGATCAGCCGGACAGGAGTCCTCATAAATGCCACGACTACATTTATGTCGTAGAAACCCAGAAAATACACTCGTTCTGTGCACAGACCAAAATCACAACAACACCTTCAAACATGTCGCTACCAGCCAAGCACGAAGCAGAAAGCAACCTCTGAGAAAGCTTAAAGGAGGGAAGCAAAGGACAGCAGAAGAATGACACGGATCATATCCACTATCCAACCTTAGACTAACTTCACCGCTGATGGTCCACTAAACCGCTAAAAGTGGGCGATCACTGTCGAGTGGTGACGTGTCTTTGGAGACAAAGGGTCTATAACTCCAAGAAAACAAACCCCACCAGGAACACACTTCAGAAGGGTTTTACATCTCCAATTCCTGGACTGACGCCCCCCTCCCATCACGACCACAGCCATGCTTCTCCTGTGATGACACCCCTGGGTGCTCCTGCCAGCCCCCACCTGACCATGGTGCCAGCCCAGTAACCCAAACACTGTCCAGGTGACCATCAGAGAACGGCAAAAAGAAAGAGATAAAGCAAGGAGGGGGGGGGGGGGGGGGGGGGTTCTTACCTTTCACAGCTCCGGCCGTTATACCCGGGGGGGCAGTTATCACAGGTGGGCACACCGTCAGCCTCCAGGTGACAGGTGGAAGAGAATCTGTGCAGAAACAGGAACATGCAGAAAGTTCATTGCTGGCATTAAAGAGGCCTGTTCTGCTTCTGTGGTTCTAGAGGTTTTAGTGCAGGTAGATGGTGTGCAAAGCTTACATCCCCGTGTTCTCTCCCACAGGTAAACAGGTAAACACACAGGTAAACAGACAGGTAAACACACAGGTGAACACACAGGTGAACACCCAGGTAAACACACAGGTAAACACACAGGTAAACACACAGGTGAACACTCAGGTGAACACACAGGTAAACACCCAGGTGAACACACTCCCCACTTCACTACTGACGTTAACACAGTTTCTACGTTCTGACATTAGAAATACAGAAAGTGAACTCACTGGTTGCTCGAAGCCGTTCCAGGACACGGACACGGCTGACAGGCCTGAGCACCGCCCGTCACCGGGTTGCCATAGAAACCAGTCTGACAGTGCTCACACCTGGGCCCCGCGGTGTTATGGAGACACTGCTACACACACACACACACACACACACACACACACACACACACACACACACACACACACACACACACACACACACACACACACACACACACACACACACACACACACACACACACACACACACACACACACACACACACACACACACACACACACACACACACACACAGGTGAGTTCCATGGAACACTTGATGTGTCTCCACATGTTCAGATCTGCCAGGAAACCATTAGTGCATTCCTCCTGAGCTCTGATCAAAGCTCCACAGAGGTCACAGAGGACAAAGACAAAAAGAGGAAGAGGAAGATGAAGATGATGAAGACTCACCAGACAGCGTCCCGTCTCCGAGTCGCAGCCGTTAGCGTGTCCGTTGCAGTCACACCTGTCACAGGTTCCCAGGTAGAGACCGGAGCTGGAGCGAGTGTAGCCGACATCACACTCCTGCAAACACAGAGAGAGACAGGTGAGAGACAGGTGAGAGACAGGTGAGAGACAGGTGAGAGACAGGTGAGAGACAGGTGAGAGACAGGTGAGACAGATAGGAAGCAGAGAGACAGGTGAGAGACAGGTGAGACAGACAGGAAGCAGAGAGACAGGTGAGAGACAGGTGAGAGACAGGTGAGAGACAGGTGAGACAGATAGGAAGCAGAGAGACAGGTGAGAGACAGGTGAGACAGACAGGAAGCAGAGAGACAGGTGAGAGACAGGTGAGAGACAGGTGAGAGACAGGTGAGACAGACAGGAAGCAGAGAGACAGGTGAGAGACAGGTGAGAGACAGGTGAGACAGACAGGAAGCAGAGAGACAGGTGAGAGACAGGTGAGAGACAGGTGAGAGACAGGTGAGAGACAGGTGAGAGACAGGTGAGACAGATAGGAAGCAGAGAGACAGGTGAGAGACAGGTGAGAGACAGGTGAGACAGACAGGAAGCAGAGAGACAGGTGAGAGACAGGTGAGAGACAGGTGAGAGACAGGTGAGAGACAGGTGAGACAGATAGGAAGCAGAGAGACAGGTGAGAGACAGGTGAGAGACAGGTGAGACAGATAGGAAGCAGAGAGACAGGTGAGAGAGAGGTGAGAGACAGGTGAGAGACAGGTGAGAGACAGGTGAGAGACAGATAGGAAGCAGAGAGACAGGTGAGAGACAGGTGAGAGACAGGTGAGAGACAGGTGAGAGACAGGTGAGAGACAGGTGAGAGACAGATAGGAAGCAGAGAGACAGGTGAGAGACAGGTGAGAGACAGGTGAGAGACATACAGGTGAGAGACAGGTGAGAGACAGGTGAGAGACAGGTGAGAGACATACAGGTGAGAGACAGGTGAGAGACAGGTGAGACAGATAGGAAGCAGAGAGACAGGTGAGAGACAGGTGAGAGACAGGTGAGACCGATAGGAAGCAGAGAGACAGGTGAGAGACAGACAGGAAGCAGAGAGACATGTGAGAGACAGACAGGAAGCAGAGAGACAGGTGAGAGACAGACAGGAATCAGAGAGACAGGTGAGAGACAGACAGGAATCAGAGAGACAGGTGAGAGACAGACAGGAATCAGAGAGACAGGTGAGAGACAGACAGGAATCAGAGAGACAGGTGAGAGACAGACAGGAAGCAGAGAGACAGGTGAGAGACAGATAGGAAGCAGAGAGACAGGTGAGAGACAGACAGGAAGCAGAGAGACAGGTGAGAGACAGACAGGAATCAGAGAGACAGGTGAGAGACAGACAGGAAGCAGAGAGACAGGTGAGAGACAGACAGGAATCAGAGAGACAGGTGAGAGACAGACAGGAATCAGAGAGACAGGTGAGAGACAGACAGGAAGCAGAGAGACAGGGGATTTCCTGCAACAGCACCATGCCGTTATCTTGATTCTGATTGGCCAGAAGACTCAAGAGGCATCAGCAAAGATGCTTTATTGAGAAGATGAAAAACTGTTTCCAGTCTGCGTCTTTCCAGACAAAGAGCTGCTGCGTCTTTCCAGACTAAGAGCTGCTCCGTCTTTCCAGACTAAGAGCTGCTCCGTCTTTCCAGACTAAGAGCTGCTGCGTCTTTCCAGACTAAGAGCTGCTCCGTCTTTCCAGACAAAGAGCTGCTCCGTCTTTCCAGACAAAGAGCTGCTGCGTCTTTCCAGACTAAGAGCTGCTCCGTCTTTCCAGACAAAGAGCTGCTCCGTCTTTCCAGACTAAGAGCTGCTGCGTCTTTCCAGACAAAGAGCTGCTCCGTCTTTCCAGACTAAGAGCTACTGCGTCTTTCCAGACAAAGAGCTGCTGCGTCTTTCCAGACTAAGAGCTGCTCCGTCTTTCCAGACTAAGAGCTGCTCCGTCTTTCCAGACAAAGAGCTGCTGCGTCTTTCCAGACTAAGAGCTGCTGCGTCTTTCCAGACTAAGAGCTGCTGCGTCTTTCCAGACTAAGAGCTGCTGCGTCTTTCCAGACTAAGAGCTGAAAGTTTGACTTCCGTCAATCTCTCTTTCTTTTTTTACGCATCTGGACCCACCGGCTGAGATCCACTGCTTTAGATATTGTTCTGTTGTTTCTCCTCCGTCTATGACCTTTGTGTCTTTGTTGTCTTGTTCCACTTGTTCCCAGTGGGTCTTTCTAAACCAGTGGGTCTTTCTAAACCAGTGGGTCTTTCTAAACCAGTGGGTCTTTCTAAACCAGTGGGTCTTTCTAAACCAGTGGGTCTTTCTAAGCCAGTGGGTCTTTCTAAGCCAGTGGGTCTTTCTAAACCAGTGGGTCTTTCTAAACCAGTGGGTCTTTCTAAGCAAGTGGGTCTTTCTAAACCAGTGGGTCTTTCTAAACCAGTGGGTCTTTCTAAACCAGTGGGTCTTTCTAAACCAGTGGGTCTTTCTAAGCCAGTGGGTCTTTCTAAGCCAGTGGGTCTTTCTAAGCAAGTGGGTCTTTCTAAACCAGTGGGTCTTTCTAAACCAGTGGGTCTTTCTAAACCAGTGGGTCTTTCTAAGCCAGTGGGTCTTTCTAAACCAGTGGGTCTTTCTAAGCCAGTGGGTCTTTCTAAGCCAGTGGGTCTTTCTAAGCCAGTGGGTCTTTCTAAACCAGTGGGTCTTTCTAAACCAGTGGGTCATTCTGGGTCTTTCTAAGCCAGTGGGTCTTTCTAAACCAGTGGGTCATTCTGGGTCTTTCTAAGCCAGTGGGTCTTTCTAAACCAGTGGGTCTTTCTAAACCAGTGGGTCATTGTGGGTCTTTCTAAGCCAGTGGGTCTTTCTAAACCAGTGGGTCTTTCTAAACCAGTGGGTCTTTCTAAACCAGTGGGTCTTTCTAAACCAGTGGGTCTTTCTAAACCAGTGGGTCTTTCTAAGCCAGTGGGTCTTTCTAAACCAGTGGGTCTTTCTAAACCAGTGGGTCTTTCTAAGCCAGTGGGTCTTTCTAAGCCAGTGGTACCCCTCCAGTCTAAGGTGTGCTTGTTACCTGGCAGGAGGGTCCGGTGTACCCCTGAGGACACGAGCACTCCTCCACCTCCAGAGCTCTCTCGTTCCCTGTGGACTGAGGGACCGCCACGTCCATCTTGATGTCCGAGATACTGACACACACACACACACACACACACACACACACACACACACACACACACACACACACACACACACACACACACACACACACACACACACACACACACACACACACACACACACACACACACACACACACATTTAGTAATCACCCATAGTACACATGCATTGTGTCTTTCTGGAGGGGCTCAGATTGAAGGGTCTCCTACCTGCTCTCTGCCATCAGGTCGGAGTACGAGGCTCGGATCATGAAGACGGAGACGTCGGCCAGCGCCATCAGAAGATGTTCCCGAGTGCAGGGCTGCCCGTCAGCGCGTCGCCATGACGACTGCCAGGGGGAGGGGTTAGGATGGGGAGGGGGTAGAATAAGTTAGACTCTCTAAATAAAGTCTCCCTGACCAACTGTCTTGTTCCTAAACCTGAAGTCCACCAATGTGTTCTTTCTCATTACAGTTTATTGTGAAGGTGAGAGAATAATAATAATAATAACAACACATGGGATTATTAGAGCACTTTTCCTAATGCTCAAAGAAGCTTAAATGCAGCGCACCTCTCTGAAGGTGACGGAGACGCTGCTGGGGGTCCTGGGTTGGGGTCTGGTCTTGGAGAAATGCTCCAGGAAGATGCCGCTGCCCTGCAGCACCACGTCCGGCTGCCCGTCGATGGCCAGAGAGCGCTGGAGAGGCTCGAAGCGCAGTGTGTAGCTTAGAGAACCTCCGTACGCCGTCACCTGGGGGGGAGACAGAGGGGGGAGACAGAGGGGGGGAGACAGAGGGGGGGAGACAGAGGGGGGAGACAGAGGGGGGAGACAGAGGGGGGAGACAGAGGGGGAGGGAGGACAGAGGGGGGAGACAGAGGGGGGAGACAGAGGGGGGGAGACAGAGGGGGGGAGACAGAGGGGAGAAGACAGAGGGGGGAGACAGAGGGGAGGAGACAGAGGGGGGAGACAGAGGGGGGAGACAGAGGGGGGGAGACAGAGGGGGGAGACAGAGGGGGGGACAGAGGGGGGAGACAGAGGGGGGAGACAGAGGGGATGAGACAGAGGGGGGGAGAAGAGGGGGGAGACAGAGGGGGGAGACAGAGGGGATGAGACAGAGGGGGGGAGACAGAGGGGGGAGACAGAGGGGGGAGACAGAGGGGGGAGACAGAGGGGGGAGACAGAGGGGGGAGACAGAGGGGGGGAGACAGAGGGGGGAGACAGAGGGGGGAGACAGAGGGGGGGGAGACAGAGGGGGGGAGACTGTGAGTTTGCTTTAAAGGTGTTGTGTAACAGGAGCTTGGAATGAAGACCAAAGCGAGTCCAAACTGAACCTTGTTACTTTATATGATCAACAGTTTCCAACAAGAGCGGTAGTAGACGGGAAAATGCACTCCACATACTCAAATTCATTTCAAATCATAACATGACAATCAGCTGTTTCTTTTAACCGCTTAATTGACATTCGTTAACAAACCTATTCCACTCCAAAACCAATATTACATATTTTGCGCATAATTAACCGATTCAATAATCAAATATTAAACATGTTGGCTCCTCTAACCTGTACCACACAAGAACAAAGGCAGCATGAAGTGAGTCTCCTCAGGTGAACTCCCCCCCCTCACCTTGTCCCCCCTGAAGCTGGGGGGCAGCAGCCAGTAGTACACGTCGTTGGGGAGGCTGCTGAAGGCTCGGTACGAGACCTCCGATCCTCTCTGAGAGATCCCCTCTGTGATGGTGTCAGAGTTCCTGCTGTTAGAGAGGGAGAACTGCTGCCCGGACCCCCGCACCTGAGACAGGGAGCACAGGTACACAGGTCAACACACAGGTACACACACAGGTACACACACAGGTACACCACACACAGGTACACACACAGGTACACCACACACAGGTACACACACATGTACACACACAGGTACACAGGTACACACACAGGTACACCACACACAGGTACACACACAGGTACACAGGTACACACACAGGTACACACACACAGAGAAACATACAGGGGAACACACAGGTAAACACACAGGTACACACACACAGGTACACACACACAGGTAAACACACAGGTACACACACAGGTACACACACAGGTACACACACAGGTACACACACAGGTACACACACAGGTACACACACAGGTAAACACACAGGTACACACACAGGTACACACACAGGTAAACAGGTACACACACAGGTAAACACACAAGTACACACACAGGTACACACACAGGTACACACACAGGTAAACAGGTAAACACACAGGTACACACACAGGTACACACACAGGTAAACAGGTACACACACAGGTAAACACACAAGTACACACACAGGTACACACACAGGTACACACACAGGTACACACACAGATAAAACATAGGGAGACACACAGGTACACACACAGGTACACACACAGGTACACACACAGGTAAACACACAGGTACACACACAGGTAAACACACACAGGTACACACACAGGTACACACACAGGTAAACACACAGGTACACACACAGGTACACACACAGGTACACACACAGGTACACACACAGGTACACACACAGGTACACACATAGGTAAACACACAGATAAAACATAGGGAGACACACAGGTACACACACAGGTACACAGGTGAATCTACAGGTACCACACAGGTACACACACAGGTACACACACAGGTACACACACACAGGTACACACACAGGGACACACACAGGGACACACACAGGTACACACACACAGGTACACACACAGGTACACACACAGGTAAACACACAGGTACACACACAGGTACACACACAGGTACACACACAGGTAAACACACAGGTACACACACAGGTACACACACAGGTACACACACAGGTACACACACAGGTACACACACAGGTACACACACAGGTAAACACACAGGTACACACACAGGTACACACACAGGTACACACACAGGTAAACACACAGGTACACACACAGGTACACACAGGTACACACACAGGTACACACACAGGTACACACACAGGTACACACACAGGTACACACACAGGGACACACACAGGGACACACACAGGTACACACACAGGTACACACACAGGTACACACACAGGGACACACACAGGACACACACAGGTACACACACAGGTACACACACACAGGTACACACACAGGTACACACACACACACAGGTACACACACAGGTACACACACAGACACACACACACATGTACACACACAGGTACACACACAGGTACACACACAGGTACACACACACAGGTACACACACAGGTAAACACACAGGTACACACACAGGTAAACACACAGGTACACACACAGGTACACACACAGGTACACACACAGGGAGACACACAGGTACACACACAGGTACACACACAGGTAAACACACAGATAAAACATAGGGAGACACACAGGTACACAGGTGAATCTACAGGTACCACACAGGTACACACACAGGTACACACACAGGTACACACACACAGGTACACACACAGGGACACACACAGGTACACACACAGGTACACACACAGGGACACACACAGGTACACACACAGGTACACACACAGGTACACACACAGGTACACACACAGGTACCACACAGGTAAACAGCCCCCCCCCCCCTCACCTGGTCGCGGCTCCAGGTGGAGCTGGAGCAGCTCTTGGTCACGCCCATACAGAAGCAGCGCAGGCAGCCCTCAGCGCGGTCTGACAGGTGGAAGAAACCCGCCTTACACTCGTCGCACAGGGCGCCTGCAACGTTGTTCTGAACACACAGCCCCGTGAATGGTTAGAGGAATATTATATAATATAATATAATCCTGTCAGGATGTGATTAGATGTGTTTTAAATGACCCTCACACTCAACCCAAAGACAACCCCCCCCCCCCTTTTACAAACAAGAAATCCCAGATAAAGTTGTTCTGTCTTTGTTTTTAATGCAGTTGTCCTGCCGTGTTTACCTTGCAGCTGCAGGGTGAGCTGCTGGAGCTGATGCTTCCTCTGCTGTCACACTTAGAGCCTTCTGCAGGAGAGAGGAGAGGAGACAAGGACATGAGGAGAGGAGACTGATCCAGGTGTGCATACCTGAGCTATGACCTCATACTACAGACCATAATAATGTCTTCACTGAGGACTACAGCCTACTGCACCACCAGAGAGTACAGACCATAATAACCACTACGCTGTAATGTTGGTAATGAGTTGAATGGACTCACGGACAGGAACACACTTCCCATTGGGCAGGAGGGGGTTACCCTGGAAACCAGCAGCACACCTGAAACAAAACGGTAACATTTACATATTTATCAGCATCTCCCCGGTTTCTCAGAATTTGACTTTTTTCTCATAATTTCCCTTTATCTTATAACTTGTGTCTTTTTCAGAATTAAAAAAAAATATATATTTTTTTATATTGTTTTTTATTTGACTTTTTCCTCATAAATTGACTTTTTCTCATAAATTGACTTTTTCTCATAAATTGACTTTTTCTCATAAATTGACTTTTTCTCAGGATTTGAATTTTTTATTGAATTAAAAATAAAATAAAATCCTTTGAATTTTTTTTTGACTTTTTGAATTTTTTTTGGAAAATTCGATATTTTTATAATAATAATAATTGATAAATGATAATTGACTTTTTCTCAGAATTAGATTTTTGTCCTCACTTCTCGCAGCGTCTCCCAGTGTATCCGGGCCTGCAGGCGTCACACGTCGGCTGCTTGTCCACGTCCAGGAAGCAGCTGTCAGAGAATCTACAGAGAGCAGAGGAACATTCAATACACAGATATTTAAAAACAAGAGGTGTGAGGTACTCGTAGTATCTATAATATAACATAATATAATACAATATAATATAATATAATATAATACAATATAATATAATATAATACCGGCGGGAGGTCTCGTAGTACGGGCAGGGGCACGGCTTGCAGTCGTCGGGTCGGCCTCGACTCGGGTCTCCGAAGTATCCGGAGCGACATTTATCACACTGAGGACCCTCGGTGTTGTGCAGGCAGCTCTACACACACACACACGAACACACACACACACACACACACACACACACACACACACACACACACACACACACACACACACACACACACACACACACACACACACACACACACACACACACACACACACACACACACACACACACACACACACACACACACACACACACACACACACGAACACACACATACACATCAGGGAACAATACTCTGACCTGCTTTATAACAAATAACAACTTTATGACTCTAACAAAGTATTCAGTACAGTCATTATAATAATAACATAAGATAAAATGTTACTTTATAACAAAACAATAATACACACATTATTAAAAAGTAGAAATAACAATTCTAAAATCATGTTTCCACAGAGCTTTGTCTCACCAGGCAGTTTCCGCTGATCGGGTCGCAGGCGCTGGCGTGTCCGTTGCAGTTACAGCCGGCACACGTTCCCAAATACTGACCTCCAGGAACCCGCTCGAACCCAGAGGAGCAGGACTCACAGGAGAGACCGGAGTAACCGGGGGGACATCTGAGGACGTATTAATACTGTTAATATACAATACTATTACTAACAGGACTCACAGGAGAGACCGGAGTAACCAGGGGGACATCTGAGGACGTATTAATACTGTTAATATACAATACTATTACTAACAGGACTCACAGGAGAGACCGGAGTAACCAGGGGGACATCTGAGGACGTATTAATACTGTTAATATAAAATACTATTACTAACAGGACTCACAGGAGAGACCAGAGTAACCGGGGGGACATCTGAGGACGTATTAATACTGTTAATATACAATACTATTACTAACACGACTCACAGGAGAGACCGGAGTAACCGGGGGGACATCTGAGGACGTATTGATACTGGGGGGGACCTGACACCTGATTATTTAATTTCACTTTTTTTCACCAATTTTGTTGGTGGAATTTGCCTTTTTTCGCAGTATTCTGACATTTTTCTCAGAATTCAACTTTTTTTTTAACTATACTTTTTCTCAGAATTCAACGTTTTTCCTCAAGATTTTCTATTTTTTTTTCTAACCCTACTTTTTTTTTTACTTTATTATTTTTTTCACTTTTCCACTATTACTAACATAACTCACCAGAATAAACGGGGGGGCACCTGATTCACCAGAATTCAACTTATTTTCAGAATTAGACTTATTTATTTTTTATTTGCTTCTTTTTTTTTGTTGACTTTTTCTCATAAATTGACGTTTTTTTCAAAGTTTTCACTTTTTCTTAGAATTTGATTTTTTCATTTCTAAATTCACTTTTTCTTTTGAATATTACTTTTCTTGTTGTTTTTAAATCACTTTAAAAAAAAAATGTACTAACACGACTCACAGGACAGACCAGAATAACCAGGACACTTTTTCCCAGAATTTGACATTTTGTTGGTGGAATTTTTCTCAGAAATAGAATTTTTTTGGGGGAATTTGCTTTTTTTCTTGAATTTGACTTTGTGTCTAAATTGACGTTTTTTTCTAAGTTTTCGCTTTTTCTCAACATTTTCACTTTTTCTCAGAATCTAAATTCACTTTATTTTTACTTGACTTTTTTCAAATAAAAAAAGAATAACTTTTTTTCAAAAAAATTCGTTTTTTTCAAACAATCCTATAACTAACACAACTCACAGGACAGACCAGAATAACCAGGGGGACACTTGTTATAAAATATATAATAATACACCGTTTTAATATGAATTATACTACACAACTTGTGCTTGGGGGACACGTAGGGACAGAAGGATAATTGATAACTCTGTTTTATGGACAGTGTTACTAACAGGAGGACATCTGGGGACCAGAAATAAAACTCTTCAGGAAAAGTGTTTCCAAACCGCTAACAGATTACAGAGCGTCCTCGTGCTGTGATTAAAAACAGCTGAGAGGAGAATCAGAGACACTGAGAACAGAGCGAGAGAGAGAGGACTTGAGCAACGGGTCATTGAAGGAAACTCAAGTTGTCAAATACAAATGTATTTGACAACTTTAGTTTCCTTCAAACTTCTTCTATCTTTATGTCCATATGTTTCTGTTTTGGTAGTAGATTGGTCTATTAAAGGGAGTTCAAATGTATTCTTTATATTTCATAGTGTGTATTATTTGGAGTCTATAGTTGTATGATAAAAAGAATCTCACATTATTTTGATTTGAAACCCAACAATAATTGTGAACATTTTAAAATGCAATGCTTCTCTCCAGTGGCCCCCGAACAATTCAGAATGTTTGTGGAAATGCAGGAAATGGGATTTTGGATTCAAATCGAGAACATTTCTCAGGTGGAGGACCCCCAGACCCCCTCTTTGGTGACCCCCCCCCCACTTCTCAAACCAGATTTACACCCTTTATTATCTACACATGTATATATGTATGTATATCTGTTACCTGCACTCCTCGACGTCGTACGCGTGCCCCATGGTGCTGAACTCCACGGTGGTGGTCTCCATGATGATGTCGCTGAGCGCCACGCTGACCATGTGGCTATCGTAGATGGTTCTGATGCTGATGCTGTCGAGGTCAGCGAGGGTCATCAGGAGGTCGTCCCGAGTCACCGGCCGCCCGTTAGAGTGCTGCCACTTATCCTGCAAACGGGACACACAGCTCGTTATCAATCACACACCGGGACACATATACATCGTTACAAAAGGACTTGTTCAAGTTTATTTGATATTAAAGGTCCCCTATTATATTATATAATATATGCCTAGAAATAGTCTAATTAATAGGAGACATTTAAAGGTCCCCTATTATACTGTTCTTCATCAATATATTACAGGTCTCAGATATATGAACCTGTCTCTGATTGGCTGAAACACCAAACAGATCATTGCAGCATCCCATAATCCCCTCTGTTTTAGCCCTGTTTCCAAGAGACATGAGGAAGTGGATTTTGCACAATAGGTGACCTTTAAGATAACGTTTCTGGTACCTCAATGAAGCTGATCTCCCTCTGGTTCACCACCCGGGAGGGGGTGGGTTTTCCTCGTTTGTAGACCAGCCGGCGTCCGTTCCCCACCAGGATCACATCAGGCTTCTCCACCGGCTCTGAGAGGCCGCGGGCCAGAGTGTAGCGGATCTTAAACTTCAGAGTGCCGCCGTACGAGTCAATCTGGAGTCAGAATGTTTCACAAAAAATGTCAGAATTGTCAGTTTTGAGAAAAACATTTAGAATGTTCTGTTTTTTTACCAAAAAGTAAGAATGTCCAGTTTTTACAACAAAAGTCAGAATGTTCTGTTTTTACCAAAAAGTACGAATTTTCTGTTTTTTACCAAAAAGTAAGAATGTTCAGTTTTTACAACAAAAGTCAGATTTTTCAGTTTTTTTTCTTAGAAAAAGTCAAAGTTCTGATTGTCAGTATCTTATGCCCTTTCACACCAAGGCTTTTCCCGTTCTAGCTCCGTGAGCTTTTCTGGTTCGGAACCGGTTCTTCGGTTCAGCTCCCGCTCTGTTCACACCGCTCAGAGCCTGAACTGGTGCTGCGTCATCCTTTGCGTCATGACGTAACCGTTTGCGTGCCTGCTTCATAAAGCCAAACCGCGCGGAAACCCCTCACATCGACAACAACAATTGACCGATTGTATTGAAGCGCTACTCGCTTTGCTCTGTCGAAACGAAATGGAAGAACTTTACTACCAACTTTACAGCCGTTACATGCTACATTCAAAAGTGCTTTACAATCATCATCATCAACTTCAACAACGATTCCGTAGGAGAAAGAAGGTACATATACGTCCTATTCGATGGCGTTAGAGCTAGCTGTTGTTAGCCTCTGCATGCGCCAAGCTCAAAATACCCGGCTTTGCAGCATTAATTACTTCAGGTATAACATTCAAACTGATGCCCCTGCCCCCCCCTCCGACGTAAGCGTGACGTATGCGGTGCTTGCTTTCTAGACCGACAACTTTTTGGTGCTTGAAACGAACCGGATTCCGGAGCTTAGAGGCTCTCCGCTGCGGTGAGAACAGGAAAGAACAGGTGCTTTTCAAGCTCCAGCTCCGTACCGGCCCTGGAACCGCGTTGGTGTGAAAGGGGCATCAGTGTCATTGAAAAGCCCTCAGGCTTACAAAAGACCCCCATCACCCACAAACTGTTCTGGTACCGCAGCATCCGGACTAAAACCACCAGACTCAGAGACAGTTTCATCCCACAGGCAATAAGACTGTTAAACACCTGAACTTGAAACAACATCCTTAACATTCATCTGGCTGCTACTTAGAAATGATTTATCTAATATATCATATTCCATTTACTTGTATATACACTCTTATTGCACTATTTCTATTCTATTTTATTTGTATTTACTTGCACTGCATCTGTTTGATTGTGTTGCTCTGTTGGAGGAGCCTGTGACCTCAGATTGTCATTGATGAATCTACACTAGCTGGGAACTGGTTTATCGCTCGAGAGGCTTTCAGAAGCTTCATCCCAACAGACTGTATCTGGGACAGGCGTGTACTACCTGTCGCTCAACAAACATTGGATATACTCTGGAATGTAATGTAACCAGTATGAATATGACCTGTATTTGTCCCTGTATATTGGGCTTATAAACAAAGCAGCAGCTCCTGCTCAGGCCTTAGTTTAGATATTCTCAGCCTTAGTTCAGACACGGTGCTTGTATATATAAACTTAACACCAAAAGTAAGGACATTTGTGTTTCTTTGTTGTAACAATGTATTTTTTGTTCCTCACAAATGTAGAAAACAGGCTTTCCAACGATATACGATGTATTGCCAAGAAGTATTGTTGCATTGTTGTTAAGTTTATATATTGTATATATGTATAACTTCTGGATATCTCAAGGAGCAGACTGGAGACAGGAGCTTGTGTATATAGTGACAGACATGACCCCACCTGACACCACCACGTATTGACTCTCTTTGGACAGCATGCCTCCTTATGAATGATTTCAGGTTATATCATCAAACGATCTCTGCAGCTGGGTGATCATGTTTATGCACTATTAGTTAATCCAGCGGTGGTTTGAAAGTGTACAACGTCTGCATGACCTAGGGACGACCCCTGGAGATTGGGTTGGGAAAGGCCAAAGCAATGAATAAAGTCGATGACAAACCCTAATTCAAGTTTCAAGTCTCTCTCACCATGAGCTCAGCAGCTGCAGTGTGGATGTGTCAATGAAAAACTGAAGTCCTCCTCCAACAGAGCAACATGAATATATATAGGACATAAAACTAATAAAACAGAAATAGTGCAAGAAGAGTCTCTATACAAGTACATGGAATTATATATTAGATACATAATTAGGAAGATACAAAGAGATGAATGTGTATGGATGCTCTATAAAACGTCCAGGTGTTTAATAATCTCATGAGGCGCTTTCACACCGGAGTACTTTTCCCGTTTAGTTAGAAAAGTAGATAGTGCCTGGAATTTTGCGTTCAAACCAAAAAGAGAACTTAGTTCATGAAAACTTTCCCCCCCTTTTTAGTCCCTGCTAGAGAGGTGGTACTTTCCTGGGGAGAAAAAGTACCAATTTCTGATTGGCTGGGCGAATTACAAACCACGCCCCGTAAAACTCTGAAAAGTGTTTTGAAGCCGCCATTGTATTTGCTGGCATTAGCATTATTAGCATTAGCATTAGCCCAGCGCACAAACGCAGAGAGACTAACTTATGGCAACACAAAAGAAAACATGGGAGCGGTGGAGATGAGGAGGTGTCGGCGTTCTAGCGATTTCCTCTGAAGGCTTCAGTAGAAGCTGCTGGGAGTCCCAGCAGCTTCAACTGAAGCCTTCCCCAACTCCGGGGACTTCCGGCCGGGGACTCCGGGTGGCAGTATACGCCGTGAAGTGGTTTGTGGCCTGCCAGTAAACCCAAAGCAGAAGAAGAAGAAGTGACGTCAGCGGCTTCATTTGCGTAATCTTCCCTCAGGGAACTTATTCCGGTGTGAACGCGATCTGTACTTAGTTCCATGGGGGTACTAAGTGCTGGTACTAAGTGCTGGGCACTAAGTGCTGGGTACTAAGTGCTGGTACTAAATGCTGGGCACTAAGTGCTGGGCACTAAGTGCTGGGCACTAAGTGCTGGGTACTAAGTGCTGGGCACTAAGTGCTGGGTACTAAGTGCTGGGCACTAAGTGCTGGACACTAAGTACTGGGTACTAAGTGCTGGGCACTAAGTGCTGGGCACTAAGTACTGGGTACTAAGTACTGGGCACTAAGTACTGGGCACTAAGTACTGGGCACTAAGTGCTGGGTACTAAGTGCTGGGCACTAAGTGCTGGACACTAAGTACTGGGTACTAAGTGTTGGGCACTAAGTACTGGGTACTAAGTACTGGGCACTAAGTACTGGGCACTAAGTACTGGGCACTAAGTACTGGGTACTAAGTATGGCAAAGTACTTGGTGTGAAAGCGGCTATGTATGTTCTGTAGGTCTTTAAACCTGGTCCTCACCTTGCTCCCCAGGAAGTGGCGGGGCAGCGTCCAGAAGGAGTCGAGGTTGAGGAAGCGTCGGGATAGGTCTACCAGCTGGAACTCCTGCAGCTCGGGGTTCACCAGCAGCTGGGTGGAGGACAGGGGGGGGGTGCCGGGGCGGGAGGGGTACGAGACGTTCACTCCTGCAGGAAGAACCACACCGTCAGCATCAGTCAGTCAACACAGAGAACACTTGGAAGTATATTATTGTAGTCATATTCAAATCAGTTAAATGAACACCTTTGTTGAAATAATCTATATTATAGATATACGTCTCATACGTGCTTTTGGAGATAACGTATCAGACATAAATAAAGTTGGATTGGATCTGATCATGTGTTGCAAGCCATGCTCCTGAGTTTCATCCTTGAGTTTATTTAAAGAGACCTTTGTACCATGAATGTGCACATGTCTGTTATTTAGCATAGGGTCTATTTAGCATAGGGTCTTATTTAGCATAGGGTCTTATTTATTATAGGGTCTTATTTAGCATAGGGTCTTATTTATTATAGGGTCTTATTTAGCATAGGGTCTTATTTATTATAGGGTCTTATTTAGCATAGGGTCTTATTTATTATAGGGTCTTATTTAGCATAGGGTCTTATTTAGCATAGGGTCTTATTTAGCATAGGGTCTTATTTATTATAGGGTCTTATTTATTATAGGGTCTTATTTAGCATAGGGTCTTATTTAGCATAGGGTCTTATTTATTATAGGGTCTTATTTAGCATAGGGTCTTATTTAGCATAGGGTCTTATTTAGCATAGGATCTTGTAACATGTGTAAACGGTCCAAAGGTATAGTGCTGTGTAAACTAAAAAGAAGAGATAGAAGCATCTGCTCTTGGCGGACACGTGTTCTGTCTCCTATCCTGCGTCTCTGTTTCTATTCTGTTATATCTTGTAACGTCTCGAGTGTCTGAGGTTTGATCCACGGCACCTTTGAAGTCCTCCTCCTCAGTGAAGCGCAGGCATGATCTGGCCTTCCGGTAGCGTCTGGTGCCTTTGCAGTTCCTTGGAGGAGTCCGGCACAGAAACAGGCAAACACCGCGACCCTGAACGCTGTGAAGTGACCCGAGGGGACAGTTCCCTGCAGAGCCATACAGAGGAACACAAGGGTATGCAAGGGGGTTCGAAAGGGGGTTAGAAGGGGGTTAGACAAGAGGGTTAGAAAGGGGGTTAGAAAGGGGGTTAGAAAGGGGGTTAGAAAACAGGGTTCGAAAGGGGGTAGAAAGGGGGTTAGAACGTGGGTTATAAAGAGGGTTAGAAAAGGGTTGTAGAAAGGGGGTTAGGAAAAAAAACGGGGGTTTAGACAAGAGGGTTAGAAAGAAAGAGGGTTTAGAAAGAGGGTTAGGAAGGAGGGTTAGAAAGGGGTTTAGAAAGGGGGTTAGAAAGGGGGTTAGAAAGGGGGTTAGAAAGAGGGTTAGAAAGAGGGTTAGGAAGAGGGTTAGAAAGGGGTTAGAAAGGGGGTTAGAAAGGGGGTTAGAAAGAGGGTTAGAAAGGGGGTTAGAAAGGGGTTTAGAAAGAGGGTTAGAAAGAGGGTTAGGAAGAGGGTTAGAAAGGGGTTAGAAAGGGGGTTAGAAAGGGGGTTAGAAAGAGGGTTAGAAAGGGGGTTAGAAAGAGGGTTAGAAAGGGGGGTTAGAAAGAGGGTAGAAAGAGGGTTAGAAAGGGGTTAGAAAGGGGGTTAGGAAGGGGGTTAGAAAGGGGGTTAGAAAGAGGGTTAGAAAGGGGTTAGAAAGGGGGTTAGAAAGAGGGTTAGAAAGAGGGTTAGAAAGGGGGTAGAAGAGGGTAGAGAAAGAGGGTAGAAAGGGGGTTAGAAAGGGGTTAGAAAGAGGGTTAGAAAGAGGGTTAGAAAGGGGTTAGAAAGGGGGTTAGAAAGAGGGTTAGAAAGGGGGTTAGAAAGGGAGTTAGAAACAGGGTTAGAAAGAGGGTTAGAAAGGGGGTTAGAAAGAGGGTTAGAAAGGGGGTTAGAAAGAGGGTTAGAAAGAGGGTTAGAAAGGGGGTTAGAAAGGGGTTTAGAAAGAGGGTTAGAAAGAGGGTTAGAAACAGGGTTAGAAAGGGGGTTAGAAAGGGGGGTTAGAAAGGGGGTTAGAAAGAGGGTTAGAAAGGGGGTTAGGAAGGGGGTTAGAAAGGGGGTTAGGAAGGGGGTTAGAAAGAGGGTTAGAAAGGGGGTTAGAAAGGGGGTTAGAAAGGGGGTTAGAAAGAGGGTTAGAAAGGGGGTAGAAAGGGGGTTAGAAAGAGGGTTAGAAAGAGGGTTAGAAAGGGGGTTAGGAAGGGGGTTAGGAAGGGGGGTTAGAAAGAGGGTTAGAAAGGGGGTTAGAAAGGGGGTTAGAAACAGGGTTAGAAAGAGGGTTAGAAAGGGGGTTAGAAAGAGGGTTAGAAAGGGGGTTAGAAAGAGGGTTAGAAAGGGGGTAGAAAGGGGGTTAGAAAGGGGGTTAGAAAGAGGGTTAGAAAGGGGGTTAGAAAGGAGGGTTAGAGGTTAGAAGGGGGTTAGAAGGGGTTAGAAAGGGTTAGAAAGAGGGTTAGAAAGGGGGTTAGGAAGGGGGGTTAGAAAGGGGGTTAGGAAGGGGGTTAGAAAGAGGGTTAGAAAGGGGGTTAGAAAGGGGGTTAGAAAGGGGGTTAGAAACAGGGTTAGAAAGAGGGTTAGAAAGAGGGTTAGAAAGGGGGTTAGGAAGGGGGTTAGAAAGAGGGTTAGAAAGGGGGTTAGAAAGGGGGTTAGGAAGGGGGTTAGAAAGGGGTTAGAAACAGGGTTAGAAAGAGGGTTAGAAAGGGGGTTAGAAAGAGGGTTAGAAAGGGGGTTAGAAAGAGGGTTAGAAAGAGGGTTAGAAAGGGGGTTAGAAAGGGGGTTAGAAAGAGGGTTAGAACAAGGGTTAGAAAGGGGTAGGAAGGGGGTTAGGAGAGGAAGTTAGGAGAGGAAGTACCTGGGTTAGGAGAGGAGATGAGCGTCAGCACGCCGTCGGGGATCCCGAACACGAGTCCTTTGGCGTTGATGGCCTCGCAGGTGTAGGCGCCCTGATCCGCCTCCTTCACGTCGCGGATCGTCAGCGTGCCGTGCCCGTTCTCATTGGTCATCGAGATCCTGGGAACACAGTGGATGAAGAGGGGTTCAGTGCAAACTATTGTCTCATTTCTATATGCTTATACTTTGCTTTCCACTGCTTAATTTAAAGCATATTGTCATGTGTTTGCACGTCTTGGTTATGAAACTTAATAAACAGAGTTTTGATTGAGATCTTAGGAACACAGAAACACATCATCTCTGTTATAGAAATACTGATTAGCTTTTAAAGATTTATTTAGCCCTACACTTATGACAGGAATGGCAGATTTGCAGGAGGTTAGATCACATTCGACTTCACTCTAAATCATTATGGGTCCCCAGGTAGTACGAGTCCTGACTTCAGCTCTCTATAATAATCTCCAGATGTAGAGTTACACAAAACTCCATAAAATCAGCACTCAGTTTCTAACCACACACACAGCAGCCGACGCCCAGAATTAACATAAATATCTCTCAGTAATTAAAGACACACGACCAGATAAATCATTAGAGAAACACAGGGCTAAATCAGGAGTGTGTGGAGAGGGTGTTTCGTTAGGGTTTATTGCACTGTTTTTCGCTTTGGATAAAGCTTCAGCTAAATCAAATGTATTTTCAGGTAATTAAAACTAGTGTTTAAGAAAGAACAACATGCTGAGGCACATTTTGTGTACTCCTATGTGAAATAAATACTTGAAAAATATGAACGACAAATGTTCGTTACTAAGTGCTTGTTATCATCAGTTTATATGTAGAAAATAATCATCATGTTCTGCTGCATATTAGATCAGCCTTTATTAGTGATTTGTATTTTAAGAAAGGCTTTCTGTACAGGACAGTGCTCTTTAGGTAATGCGTTGAGAATATATATATATGTGCAATATAAATACCATTACCATCAATACAAAACACTCTCTGCTATATAACATATAGTGGGAATGCTGATACAGCATTCCCACTATATGTTATGCTACGGACGAAAAGTTTATTATTCCATCCAATTATTTTGTCCGTCTTCTCCTCCCACATTCAACATCGCAGAAACTCCGTTCAAACATCAAAACGTTCAGCTCGGTCAGGAATCGGGCGCTATTACTTTTATCATTCATAACTTTCATAATTCCAGAGATACATCCCATAATACATCACATTTTTAACATTTGAACTTTAACATTGCGCAGCTCGTTAAGTTAGAGTGCGTGATGTCACAGCTAGAGGGTAGGAAATCTTGAAATTTCCCTTCATATCTTTTTTTAAAACTGCCATAATTCCCAAACCCTACATTCCTGAGACATAATTTTTCCTGACAAACGTAGGAAAACATCTTGTAGCTTGAACAATGACAAATAATGAAGCAAAAATAATTCAACAAAATGCCTCTTGAGGGCATGAAGTGACAAAAACGTTCAACATGTCTCCATTAAAACCCATTGTAATTTCAGGCAGATATTTCCTCACAGCAGCAGCCGCACACCTTTAGTTAAACTGCCAAAAAGGCCACATTCTTAACCCAAAAGTACACAAAATTACACTTCAGCTACTCAACTCCTTGACTATGCTTCAACGTTTTGAAATTCACAGATATCTGTTATGGTTCTTCCACAAAACGTTCAGCATGTAAGAGGTTCATCTCTCATTCAGAACATGCAAAAACCTTTGATCGCTACAGAGCTCGTTAGCTCAACTATAAACACCTAGATGGTAATGGAACACGATGATGTCATCACTCCAAGGACAGCGTCAGTTCTAAAAATGTGCAGCGAAGAGAGAGAGAGAGAGAGATAGAGAGCGCTAGCTATGAGACGGAGCGAGTAGAGAGAGAGAGAGAGAGAGAGATAGCGAGATCGGATCTCTATCTATAGATCTATCTCTCTCTCTCTCTCTCTCTCTCGCTCTCTATCTCTCTCTCTCTCTCTCTCTCTCTCTCTCTCTCTCTCTCTCTCTCTCTCTCTCTCTCTCTCTCTCTGCCGTTTCCATGGAAACGCATCCCTCGCCATAAAAAACGATGTCGCTATAACTCCTATGAAAATGTTCAAAAAGTGCTCAAACTTCACATGTGTGCTAACAGTCCAGCCGTGAAGACATCTACGGGACAGTTTTGAGATTTCTTCAAATGCCGTTGCCATGGCGACAGACCCCTCGCCATGAAGCACGATGTCGCTGTAAGTCCAATGGACACGGTCCGATCGCCCCCCAATCTTCACTTGTAGATCACCGGTCCATGCCTCAACAGCTCTACGCCAAATCTGAGATCTCATGCCGTTTCCATGGAAACGCATCCCTCGCCATTAAAAGACGATGTCGCTATAACTCCTATGAAAATGTTCAAAAAGTGCTCAAACTTCACATGTGTGCTAACAGTCCAGCCGTGAAGACATCTACGGGACAGTTTTGAGATTTATATTCTGCTGCTTTTCCAAGCCTTTTTACTTTCTTTTCTTCTCTCATCACACATCCAAGCCCCCAGTGTTCATGTATCATTTCAATCTAAATTCTTCACTTTCTTCTTACACATTACTTTTCAGCATAAAGCATTCCCACTAGCAATTACTTCAGGAATTGCATTCTCTAGTTATTAATAATGTTCTATAATAACGTGCAATTACATATCTGCCACTACGTTTTTTATATTAATTATGTGACCGTCTATGTTTCTTGTAGTTATTTAATTGCTCTTTTTACTGCACTGTTAGTGTACAGTTTTATCATCGTATCTTCGTCATTCTTATCAGCTGGATTTCTACGATCCCTGAATAGTTGTATTGATTAAAATGAAGTGTCTACAGTTGTATTGCGGGTACAGAGGGAGGGTTACCTGCCGCTGAGGGGGATGTGCCCCCAGTTGAGTCTCCAGGTGATGATGGGGGTGGGCACTCCCACAGCCTGACAGGTGAACGTCACCGTCCCCCCACGCGCCACCTCAATGGACTCTTCCGGCGGGCTGGTCACAGAGGGAGGGGCTGCAAAGAGCCAGGAAGACGATTCAAACACAGAATAATGGACATGGGAACGGGACAGGAATGCAGCGAGGCGGCGGGGACCATGATGTCAGGGGAATATCCTAACTCTGCTCTGAGGACGGACAATCAACCCTCAGTTCTCAGGAATGGACGTCCCACAAACAGCTCAGTGTCTCAGAGGAGACGAGTGTGAAGAGAAGTTCAGAGACAATGAGTCACAGAGATCTCAGAGGGACCAGACGACACGATACGATCAAGTCATTTAACATAACAGCACAATCACTGAGCGAAAAAACATTTCCTCCGTTTTCTTGGTGTTGATCTCAAGAGCATCGTTATCAGTCTTTACAGCCTGTTGGTGCAGCTCAGAGAGACAGAAGACAGATTGAGACTTACTGCAGCCGTATTCGTCCGACCGGTCGGGGCAGTCCGGCTCGTCGTCGCACTGATAGCTGGCCGGGATGCAGGTCCGGTCGCTCAGACACTCAAACTGCTCCGGAGCACAGCGGTCCCCGGGGCCCTTCGTGGCTGCAGGACGAAAACAATCAAACGATTCAAAACAACTCTAATCACAGGAGACTAACTCCAGTTTCAAAAAACAGAATACATGGAGACTTGGCTCGGCCTGTTCCCATAGCTATGTTGTAAATGTATCACCTGATTATGGACAAGACAGTAGGCGTTTTGTAAGATATATCCACATGAACTCAACCTTCCTTTACGTTTTTTACTTATTGTAAGAAGAGAAGAAGGAACCCTTAACAGACCCTCAACCCTCCCACAGAGGGGAAATGTACATTCTGCATTTGACCCATCCTAGTGTTAGGAGCAGTGGGCTGCCATATGTACGGTGCCTTGCACAGGGACACCTCGGTAGCACCTGGTCTTTTGGGGACTTGAACCGGTGACCTTCCAGTTCCTAAGCCAAGTCCCTACAGACATTGACATTCATCAATTTAAATAATCGCACAAAATGTGGACTTTGAGTATTTTTAAGTTATTTGTTATTTACTAATTGTCGATGTTTGGACTTGCCATACAACATTTTCTAGTTTTCGATTCATGGTGCAGCACATGGATATGTCTTTGAGTTTTATTTTACCTTTATAGACGTCATTTAGCCATGACCCGATCATTTTTGAATTATCGACTTATTGACTTATAGCATTTTGAGCTGCTCCTGCAAAGCAGCCCTTTGAAAGACCAATATATTTAAAGTAATGGAGACTCACGGCAGTCTGTCTCGTCGGAGTTGTCCTCACAGTCGTTGTCTCCGTCGCAGCGCCACAGCTTCAGGGCGCAGCGGCCGTTCTTACATTTGAACTCGTTGGGTTCACATGGAGAGGGAGTTCCTGTGGAAAGATGGAGAGTTACAGGAAGATATTCACACAGGTATAAAACAGCGATGTCTGAGAGAATAACATTTTCTATGCTCAAAATGTGTCATTGCGTGCTCAGGATAGAGGCACAAAAATAACGCCATATGTGAGAGAGAACAGGCACCGGGCTCTGCTGCATTTTAGTCATTTCTTGTCCACTAATCTTAGCCATGGATAAAAACGTGTTGCCGGACAGAATTGATGTTTTTTCTCCGTATAGAAACACCGTCACTCACCACATCTGTTCTCGTCGCTGCCGTCGTTACAGTCCCTCTCCCCGTCACAGATGTAATCTCGGGGGATGCACTCTCCGCTCTGACAGGTGGCCTGATCGGCCCTGCAGGGCCCCGGGGGGCTGGGGGGCCGCACTGGCTTCCTGCTGGTGCTGGTGGTGGTGGGAGTCGTGGGGACGATTGGAGGAACCGTCTGCCTTGTTTCTGAAATAAATCTCTAATTTAACTTAACGTATGCACCTGTGATATGATGGTCATATGTTTAAAAAACAGTGGTAGGTAGCCTCGTAGCTGCAACTGTTAGTCAACCATGCTACATCCGTCTTACAGCCGTATTACAACCGCGTAACAGCCGCGTAACAACCGTGTTACAGACGTGTTACAGACGTGTTACAGCTGTGTTTCTGGCGTATACCTGCCGTGTTCACAGCTTTGTCACAGCCGCCTTACAGCCATGTTATAACCGTGTTACAGCCATATTACAGACGTTTTACAGCCATGTTACAGCCGTATTACAGCCTTCTTACAGTCTTCCTACAGCCGTGTAACAGCCGCGTTACAGCCGTATTACAACCATATTACAGCCGTATTACAGCTGCGTTACAGATGAGTTACAGCCGTGTAACAGCCACTGTCTCTCACACTCACCACAGTTGTTCTCATCACTCATGTCTCTGCAGTCCGCCCGGTTGTCACACAGATACTCCATCAGGATGCAGGTGCCGTCACCACACCTGTGTTCATCTGCCATGCAGGGTCTGATGGCGGGGGTTACTGAGGGAGAGGGGGGGCAGCATGGAAACATCAGACACATGCAAGCCAAGGCTACAGCCGTTACACTACAGTCACATCACGACAGTCACATCACAGCCGTTACACTGCAGTCATATCACTACAGTCACATCACAGCCGTTACACTACAGTCACATCACAGCCGTTACACTACAGTCACATCACAGCCGTTACACTACAGTCACATCACTACAGTCACATCACAGCCGTTACACTACAGTCACATCACAGCCGTTACACTACAGTCACATCAGAGCCGTTACACTACAGTCACATCAGAGCCGTTACACTACAGTCACATCACAGCCGTTACACTACAGTCACATCAGAGCCGTTACACTACAGTCACATCACAGCCGTTACACTACAGTCACATCACAGCCGTTACACTACAGTCACATCAGAGCCGTTACACTACAGTCACATCACAGCCGTTACACTACAGTCACATCAGAGCCGTTACACTACAGTCACATCACAGCCGTTACACTACAGTCACATCACAGCCGTTACACTACAGTCACATCACAGCCGTTACACTACAGTCACATCACTACAGTCACATCACAGCCGTTACACTACAGTCACATCACAGCCGTTACACTACAGTCACATCACAGCCGTTACACTACAGTCACATCACTACAGTCACATCACAGCCGTTACACTACAGTCACATCACAGCCGTTACACTACAGTCACATCACTACAGTCACATCACTACAGTCACATCACAGCCGTTACACTACAGTCACATCACAGCCGTTACACTACAGTCACATCACAGCCGTTACACTACAGTCACATCACAGCCGTTACACTACAGTCACATCAGAACACAATGAAACACATCCAGAGCTGCAGACATGTCGTTACATTGCGAGGAGGGGATCTTCAAGGACAGGAGGATATTATTATATTCATATATATTCATGTTTTATTATAAATATGTGTTTTGCATTGAGTTTTCTGTAAAGTGTAACGTTCACTTTGTGCTATAGGGAAAGATGGACTGCATGTATTAGAGACATATTACATGTATTGAAAATGAACAATAGTAACAACTTCTTTGCAGATGACTGTTTTCTGAAGCCGTTGACATACGAGAAGGACTATTAGCTCCAAACATCCTGGAACTATTTATTCAAACTGGGATTTAATTCAAAGTGTACGCTCTTTTTGGAAACAGAAAGCCTAAATGTGGTCAGAGAGCAGAGAGAGGTGCACCCTGTCTCCTGAGTGGAGAGATACATGCAAACGCTTCTCTATCAGTTGCCATGCCTGTGGACAGAATCTCCTGCAGTGAACAGCAGCCTTCCTCTCCAAACTCATGCCATGCAAAGACCCTCCTATCCTCGGTGGGCTACACTCAGACACTCAGAAGTCACATTGGTGCTTTCATGCAAAACATTCCTCAAAGTAAAGGTCATCTTTCCCCACGGGGGGGGGGGAAGGATGCGCTGGGCTGTCTCTCTAAAGGCACTACAGTCCTGCTACAGTCCTACAGCCTCCATGCAGAGCACTTTACCAACCTGGCGCTGCTATAGGCTCCACTGGAGGCGGAGTCTTAACTAGAAACCAGAGGGAGAAGTTAAATGTCTCCTATCATGCAAAATGCACTTTTTATTTGTCTTTTATACATATATATATACTGTCAGAAACAATGAGACGTGTTCTGGAAGTAATATGGTCTGTGTTTACATCACGGCAGCATTTAGCTTTTGTTTAAGCTTTAGACCCAGAATCATCTCTTTAGTAACAGCTGGAAGAGAGGGGATGAGGCGAGAATGACCTTTAAAGACACATCCTGACGCTGTGACTAACGTCTCCTCTGAGAACCCTCACCTTCCCCTAGCTGTCTGAACTGGAAGCCCTGCACCGAGGTGACGTAGGAGGCGATGGCGCCCTCCTTCACCACGTTATACAGGACGCTGCGGATCTGCTCGTCGTTACTGTTGTAGTCCGAGCCCACGTCCAGCTCCACGAACACGTCCACGCCGTCCTCTCTGATCATCTTCCTGCAGAGGAAACAGTCAGAAACAATGAGAGAAGGGGCATCATGGGAGATGTAGTGTTCAGCTTCAGGGGGGGGTCTATACTGTGTCCTCATCTCCTCTGAATCAAAGCGTGAAACTAAAAAGTGAATACAGAAGTTTGATCTGGATTAAAAAAGAAAGATGATGGCATACACTAACGGTCCGTCCACACGGCAGCGTCGCGTTGAAGCTTGCCGGTGGGCGTGTCTGGCATGCGACCAACAACCAATCACATGAACCTCCCACCCCAGACACACAAGCATGCGGTTTGATTGGCTAGAGCTTGTACTGGCATATGATTTGATCAGGGCCGGCCCTTGGCATAGGCAGTATAGGCGAATGCTAAGGGCGCATCAATCTATGGGGGGCGCCCATAGTTATGTAATTTCATAACAACACAATTTCCCGATTTTGGATCAACAAAGTACATCTTCTTCTCTTATACTAACAGAACTACGCCTCTATTGCGTACAGCGCCCATAAACTATGGCGCACCCCCCCCCCCCAAAATCAAGTTGAACTACCCCAGCCCCAGAGGTTTATGTGAAATAGTTGTTTTTTTTGAAATAATGGTTTTAGTGTGCAATTATAGGTTTTAATGTTGTATTTGTGTTCATTTAAAATAAATCAAACTCCCAAAAAACGTATACAGCTTTTGTTAACATTGGAATTGACTGTGTAAGCGGCCGCGGGGGGGGGGGGAGCTTTAGAGAGCTCTTTCCTGACAGACTGAGAGGCTCTGATAACCTCAGCTCAGGGAGGTAAAGGCACACCTTTATATGATCATTATAGTTATAACAAAATAAGAGAATAGATTTTCATCTATTCACGCCAGCTAAAATCTTGCCTAGGGCAGCAAATTGGCCGGCCCTGGATTTGATTGGCTGGCGCTTCCGTCGACGCTTGAAAAGTTTTACTTTTCTCAAAGCGAGGAACGGAGGCAAAGCAGTTCAAAGTGAATGGGAAGCGTCTCCGTTGAAGCACGCGGCGCTGCCGTGTGGACGGACCGTCAGGCATGTGTCTGTGTTTTATTTATACAACTGAACAAAGTAAAGAAGATAAATACAAACTTTTAAAAAGTGTTGTAACCGTTTTACAGATACTTGTTATTCCAAAACAACTTCTCATAAATGCACCATAACTTTTCACGATGCGCCCGTCTCTCCTCTGCACATGAAGGCTACATGTCTCTCCTCTGCACATGAAGGCTACATGTCTCTCCTCTGCACATGAAGGCTACATGTCTCTCCTCTGCACATGAAGGCTACATGTCTCTCCTCTGCACATGAAGGCTACATGTCTCTCCTCTGCACATGAAGGCTACATGTCTCTCCTCTGCACATGAAGGCTACATGTCTCTCCTCTGCACATGAAGGCTACATGTCTCTCCTCTGCACATGAAGGCTACATGTCTCTCCTCTGCACATGAAGGCTACATGTCTCTCCTCTGCACATGAAGGCTACATGTCTCTCCTCTGTACATGAAGGCTACATGTCTCTCCTCTGCACATGAAGGCTACATGTCTCTCCTCTGCACATGAAGGCTACATGTCTCTCCTCTGCACATGAAGGCTACATGTCTCTCCTCTGCACATGAAGGCTACATGTCTCTCCTCTGCACATGAAGGCTACATGTCTCTCCTCTGCACATGAAGGCTACATGTCTCTCCTCTGCACATGAAGGCTACATGTCTCTCCTCTGCACATGAAGGCTACATGTCTCTCCTCTGCACGTGAAGGCTACATGTCTCTCCTCTGCACGTGAAGGCTACATGTCTCTCCTCTGCACATGAAGGCTACATGTCTCTCCTCTGCACGTGAAGGCTACATGTCTCTCCTCTGCACGTGAAGGCTACATGTCTCTCCTCTGCACATGAAGTATGGCTTGGATGGATCTCAAGGACTCTTACTTGATGAGCACCACGCTGACCGTCTGCACTCCGGGGACCCGGTTGTAGTCTGACTCCAGCTGCAGGGAAAACACACCAGTCAGAATAGAAGAAAACTTTATAGAATAAAAATTGCAAAAGTAAAATACAAATAAAATAGAATACAAATATGTATATAAACAACAAGTTAAAGTTCAATTAGTGCTTGTAAAATGTAGTGGGAATATACTCAGGTAAAGTACAATACTTGAGTGAATATAACCCACTATATCATCAACATTATGAGTGTGCATGATGCAGGGTGGGGGGGGGGGGGGGGGGGGCGTACCGTGTCCACCACGGCCTCGGAGATCTCGTTGAAGGCGGGGGAAAAGATGTCATCGAGCTCTGGGCCGTACACCAGAGAGTTGGTGAAGTTAACGAGCGCCCGGTAGTAAACTGAAACACAGAGAGAATCAGAATCAGAATCAGAGGACCAGACTCCAGAGGGTCAGACTCCAGAGGGTCAGACTCCAGAGGGTCAGACTCCAGAGGGTCAGACTCCAGAGGGTTAGACTCCAGAGAGTCAGACTCCAGAGGACCAGACTCCAGAGGGTCAGACTCCAGAGGGTCAGACTCCAGAGGGTTAGACTCCAGAGGGCCAGACTCCAGAGGGTCAGACTCCAGAGGGTCAGACTCCAGAGGACCCAGAGGACCAGACTCCAGAGGGCCAGACTCCAGAGGGTCAGACTCCAGAGGACCCAGAGGACCAGACTCCAGAGGACCCAGAGGACCAGACTCCAGAGGGCCAGACTCCAGAGGGTCAGACTCCAGAGGACCCAGAGGACCAGACTCCAGAGGGTCAGACTCCAGAGGGTCAGACTCCAGAGGGCCAGACTCCAGAGGGCCAGACTCCAGAGGGCCAGACTCCAGAGGGTCAGACTCCAGAGGGTCAGACTCCAGAGGGCCAGACTCCAGAGGGTCAGACTCCAGAGGACCCAGAGGATCAGACTCCAGAGGACCCAGAGGATCAGACTCCAGAGGGTCAGACTCCAGAGGGTCAGACTCCAGAGGGTCAGACTCCAGAGGACCCAGAGGATCAGACTCCAGAGGACCCAGAGGACCAGACTCCAGAGGGTCAGACTCCAGAGGGTCAGACTCCAGAGGGTCAGACTCCAGAGGGTCAGACTCCAGAGGACCCAGAGGATCAGACTCCAGAGGGTCAGACTCCAGAGGGTCAGACTCCAGAGGGTCAGACTCCAGAGGGTCAGACTCCAGAGGGTCAGACTCCAGAGGACCAGACTCCAGAGGGTCAGACTCCAGAGGGTCAGACTCCAGAGGGTCAGACTCCAGAGGACCCAGAGGACCAGACTCCAGAGGGTCAGACTCCAGAGGGTCAGACTCCAGAGGACCCAGAGGACCAGACTCCAGAGGGTCAGACTCCAGAGGGTCAGACTCCAGAGGGTCAGACTCCAGAGGACCCAGAGGACCAGACTCCAGAGGACCAGACTCCAGAGGGTCAGACATTATAAACCACATCCAGGATCAGGAGGTTCAGTTTATTACAGACGCTGTCACACAGGATCCTGTTCCCTGAGGAATATATTTTGTTATTGTACATTTGTATTTCAACATGTATATTTTCTACTTTTGTAATGCTTTTGTTTTTCTATTTGAGATGTTTACATTTTGGATTGTTTATTTCTAGTCTTCTAATCTCTCTAATGAACAATGCCAAACATTTCCCAAATTGAGATGAATAAAGTACTTCTGATCTGATCTGAGGGGAGGCACAGTCTGCACCCAGACACCGAAACACCTGGATGTAAAGCTTCTTCTCTGGGGGGTCGAGGACGAGGACACAACACAGAAACTAACAGACAGTCTGATAAAGGCAGACGTGAGACAGGGTCTGGAACAGGGTCTGGAACAGGGTCTGGAACAGGGTCTGGAACAGGGAGGTGAACTTCTGCTCATTCCGTTTCCCGTCTTTGTTGAATCCTGATCTATTTTCTGTCTGAACAGAAGTAGGTCTATGTCGGTATATTAGCGTAATCGAGCCTATTATCTCCGAGTCCAAACACAGTGTTGAAAACAATCGTACATCAGTTTAGAGAAATGACAAAGTGACCTTGTTCTACCTATCCAGGGTTTTTCTGAGAATAATACAGTATTAGAGCGATGAGCGATTAGGCCCCGCCCACTTTCCAGTGAAAATACAGCATCAGAGCGAAGTGGGAAATAAAAGTGTCTTCACGTCTTAAAGCTGCCGAGTCATATGTTGCTCCTCAAATACAAATACATCCAGAGGTTTCTTTACTTCCTCTACGGAGAAAAGGAAAAGAGACAGAAACCTCAGTTTCAGTGTCAGACCCACCGGACATCCATCACATCATTGTTCTCCGTGAAACCAAGCTGTCTCTGCCGTCTGACGCTCTGTTTGATGCTCATATTTCTGGAGTAAAAAATAAATACATCTAAAAAAATTATAAATAAATACAAATCTAAAATGTTTAATCTAAATCCCCTCCAAAATATCTGAATCCCCAAAAAATCCTAATCTGATAAAAAAATCGAAGAGAAAATGGAAATCCCCAAAAATGTGATTTTTATCCGTTTTTGAGGAACAGAAATATTGTTTTCTGGCATCACTTTAACATTTGACAGACAGAACCCTGCTTTAGTCCATGGCTTATTAACAACCCACGCTATTGCATTTCAATCTTCCATAAAGCAAGAATAGCAACAATGTGTGTTTACGTATTAATCGAATTTAAATGGGAAGTTTAGACTTTGAATTTGCAACCTGTGTTTCTCTACATCCAATAGCTGCGCTCACACCGAGTACTTTGCCGTACTCAGTGCCCCAGCACTTATTACCCCAGGGCACTCAGTGCCCCGGCACTTATTACCCCAGAGCACTCAGTGCCCCGGCGCTTATTACCCCAGGGCACTCAGTGCCCCGGCACTTATTACCCCAGAGCACTCAGTGCCCCGGCACTTATTACCCCAGAGCACTCAGTGCCCCGGCACTTATTACCCCAGAGCACTTAGTACAGATCGCGTTCACACCGGAATAAGTTCCCTGAGGGAGGATTAGGCAAATGAGCCGCTGACGTCACTTCTTCTTCTTCTGCTTTGGGTTTACTGGCAGGCCGCAAACCACTTCACGGCGTATACTGCCACCCGGAGTCCCCGGCCGGAAGTCCCCGGAGTTGGGGAAGGCTTCAGTAGAAGCTGCTGGGACTCAGAGGGTCCTCGGTTTCTGGGTTTCTCTCAGAGGGTCCTGGGTTTCTGTCAGTGGGGTCCTGGGTTTCTGTCAGAGGGTCCTGGGTTACTGCCAATGGGTCCTGGGTTTCTCTCAGAGGGTCCTGGGTTTCTGGATTTCTGTCAGAGGGTCCTGGGTTTCTGGGTTTCTCTCAGAGGGTCCTGGGTTTCTCTCAGAGGGTCCTGGGTCTCTGGGTTTCTCTCAGAGGGTTCTGGGTTTCTGTCAGAGGGTCCTGGGTTTCTGAGTTTCTGTCAGAGGGTTCTGGGTTTCTGTCAGAGGGTCCTGGGTTTCTGGGTTTCTGTCAGAGGGTCCTGGGTTTCTGTCAGAGGGTTCTGGGTTTCTGTCAGAGGGCCCTGGGTTTCTGGGTTTCTGTCAGAGGGTCCTGGGTTTCTGTCAGAGGGTTCTGGGTTTCTGTCAGAGGGTTCTGGGTTTCTGGGTTTCTGTCAGAGGGTCCTGGGTTTCTGTCAGAGGGTTCTGGGTTTCTGTCAGAGGGTCCTGGGTTTCTGGGTTTCTGTCAGAGGGTCCTGGGTTTCTGGGTTACTCTCAGCAGGGTTTCTCTGTTGGTCCTGATTCTGCACGGCTAACATCAAAGACCCTGATCAAAGCGCCTCCTCTGACCCGCTCATAATCTGATCACTTGAGAGGGTCCGCTCTCTCTTTGATTAGCGCGCTACGCTAACGAGCCGCTCTGTTCTGTTTACAGCGGGGTAAAACATTCCTGCCTCTTAACTCTCAAACGTCTTTAGTGGTAAAGAGGCGGCACCGTGGGGGCTTTGTGTGCCTCGGGCCCCTCTGGAGGCCCGCAGGGAAACAAAGACCTGATTGAGCAGCGAGTCGGACTTTAAAAGCCCACCGGGACGACCTTTGACCCCCAAACACTGCAGCCACGGCATCGAACCGCACATTTACAGAGGAACCTTAACTTTGACTTTATTATTTGCCCCTCTTGTTTGTTTGTTTGTAAAGCGGCCTTTGGTCTCTTGAAGTTATCACCGCTATAAACCATATTTAAATGTGTCTTAATGTACATTATTTAATTTCATATTCTGGTCTTGGACAGATCATATTCTATTGACATGAATATAGACTTCTTGCACTATTTTGTATTTGTATGATACATGTTGCATTGTGGGAGGAGCTCGATACATGTTGCATTGTGGGAGGAGCTCGATACATGTTGCATTGTGGGAGGAGCTCGATACATGTTGCATTGTGGGAGTTGTGGGAGGAGCTCAGGTCAGAAGAACGCCATTTCTACTGAAGCTGCTGAGCGTCTGATGAGAGACCTTTGAATTGAATTGAAAGGCGCTATACAAATGTAATCTATTATTATTATTAGGAACCAGAACCACTGAGACACAGGCGGAGAGAAACTGTGCCTGACAGACATCACCATGACCCCCCCACACTTCATTACTTACATTGTCTTTACATTTGTATTGTCTTTTTATGCTGCTGCAATGCAAACACTTCCCAAATTGGGATCAATAAAGTACTTTTGATCTGATCTGATCTGATCTGATCTGATCTGATCTGATCTGATCTGATCTGATCTGATCTGATCTTAAGACAGTTGTAATGCTAATGCTAATGCTAATAGGAGAAATCTGCAGACACAGCTAGACTTGTTTTGGAGCCCTTAGGTTTTCTTCTCTGACACTTTGTGTGTCTCCTGACACACCGGGGACACACAGTGATGTAGAGAAGACATCAAAGAGAGACTTTTGCATGATAGGAGACCCCCCCCCCACTCCCCCCCCCCCTCCAGACTCTCTTTGTGTTCAACAGAGACTGGTTTATTCTCATGTTGTTCAAAAACAGCTGCTTCATATCTCCGGGGCGAACCATCTGCGGGTCATTAGGGGGGGGGGGGGTGGCAGAATACACTATGGGACACATTCCTGCAGATCTGAGCCATGTGTCATCATGCTGTCACTGAGGGAGGGGGGGTGGGGCAAAACATTACTTTTCGTTTAACATTCATTATGTCTCTGTATGTTATATGTTTGTGTAACGTTGCCTTCTTGGCCAGGGCAGATTTGAAAATTCACTTTTTACTGAAGTACATTTCAAAGCCCTCTTTACTTTGACTTGAGTAAAGAAGTTTAGTCAGTACTTCTACTTTGACCAGAGTATTTTTAAACACGAGTATCTGTACTTCTACTTGACATCTCTGCAGACCATTACTGAGGGGGGGGCGGGGGGGGGTAAAGAGAGAGAGAGAGAGACTTACTGAGGTCCGGTTCAAAGGAGCTCTGAATGTTCCCCGGAGAGGAAGAGTCCATCTCTGTGAGGAGCAGCGAGGAAGAGGAAGAAGAGGAGGAGGACACAGACAGGGGTCAGAGGTCAAGGACCGAACAAGGAAAGCGACACCAGAAGAAGAGAGGGGTCGAGTTAGGGGCAGAGAGGTTAAAAGGTCAGGAGACAGGAAGTGAAGCCAGGAGAGAAAATGAGAGAAAGTGGAAATCAGTGTGTGTGTGTGTGTGTGTGTGTGTGTGTGTGTGT